CGTTGACTGAGTTTCCCTGATCCTTCCCTCTGTCTCTCGAGAGCCTTACCTTGGGAAACCACCTGCTGGTCACCCCTCTCCCAGATCTTTCTATACTGCCGAATGTAAAAAAGCTGAGCTTAATTCTGGTCAGTGTGGAGCCTAGGCTGGATATTAGTAACAGCTTATCTCGGTTGCAGCACTTGAATCTGATTTTGGCAGATGATGCAGAGGAGCTTCCCTTCCCCTTGACCTTCCTTTCTCAGCTGCAGAACTTGGCGATTCTGATCGCAAAAAGGCTTTTGTCGCTTCCAGCGGACATTGGGTCGTCTCAGCAGCGGCTGCGAGAGCTGAAAAATGACAATGCTGAAGCACTGACAGAGCTGCCAACAAGTGTTACAGAGCTGCAGCATCTGACTTCTCTAGAGGTGCATGCATCCAAGATAGTGTCACTTCCCGAGGGCATCAGTGCCTTATCTAGGCTGAGAGAGCTGGACCTGGCTAAGTGCTCTTCCCTGGAACGGCTGCCTGCTTCCCTCACCTAGCTTGCCTGCTTGAATAAGTTGGACGTGGAGAATTCTTCCATCCGCTCCCTTCCTCCCAACTTCGCTCAGCTGACCCAGCTCAAGACACTTACGTTGGGTGGTTGTAAGGAGTTGAGGGCTCTGCCAAAGGGCATGCTTGAGCTGAAGATGCTACAGGATTTGTAGAGTGTCACCATGTGTTGGATAGGAGTGCAAAGCTCAAGGGTAATTATGAAATGTATGGGTTAACGGTATCAATTTATACATATGATGTTATGCAGAAATTATAGGCTAGATAGGTGTATGTTCTTAGTGGGTACAACCCCAATACTATATCTCTCTTGTTCTCTCTTGTTTTCAATCATTCTAGTATCTTAACATGGTATCATGCGTAGGTTAGGTCCCCCCCCACCCGCTTCCGCCTCGCGCCCTAGCCTACAGCGCCTCGTCGGCCCCTAGCGTGCCCGTCATCCCCTCGCGCTGAAACCGGCCCCTAGCGTGCCAGTCAGCCCCTCGCACCCTAGCCGGCCCCTTGCCCCCTAGCCGGCTCGTTGCGCCCAGCCGGCCCCTTCGCGACCAGCCGGCCCCTCGCGCCGTCGCCAGCCCCTCGCGCCTTCGTTGGCCCCCTCGCGCCCTAGCTGGCCCCTCGCGTTGTCGCCCGGCCCTAGCTCCCAGCCGGCCCCTTCACAACCAGCCGGCCCACCCCTCGCACCTAGCCAGCCCCTCGCGCCTTCGCTGGCCCCTCACGCCCGAGCTGGCCCCTCGCGTTGTCGCCCCCCCCTAGCGACCAGCCGGCCCGCCCTTCGCGCCGTCGCCAGCCCCTCGCACCTTCGCTGGCCCCTCGCGCCCTCGCTGGCCCCTCGTGTTGTCGCCCACCCCTAGCGCCCAGCCGGCCCCTTCGTGACCAAGCGGCCCGCCCCTGACGCCTAGCCGGCCCCTTGCGCCTTCGATGGCCCCTCGTGCCCTAGCTGGCCCCTTACGCCTCACCGGCCCCTAGCGCCTGACCGGCCCCTCACGCCCTAGCTGGCCCCAACCACCTAGCCGGCCCCAGCGCACCTCAGGTCCCACACGCCCTGCAAGCCCCTCTCCACATGCTGGCCCCGTATGCGCCTTGACTCCTCGCGCGCCCTCCTCGGCCTTCCGTTTAGTTCAGTTCCAGAGAGTCCTGTCGCCGTGCCGCTGAGTCCCTGTGCCGCTGTGCCGCTTTGTCCCGGTGCCGCTGTGGTTGAGCGATGACAAATGCCATGCTCCGTCTAGACGCGGAGGGGCACGCGATCAACTTCGCCGCCTGGCTTGTCGATCTCCGCCGGCACCTGACAGGTCATCGCTAGGATGGGCACTCCCTGGCTATGCATGCTGATGAATTGCTTCCTTCGCCTCCTTCGTCGTCGCTCGCTGTCGCGCCTCCCCCTCTGTCTGACTACCTTCGTGCTACTTGTCCTCTTGTTCCTCCAGTCCTTGCCTCCCTTGTTACCGACCCGTCTGTTCATCTATCGCGTCTTGACGCTCTTGTCACTGCTATCACTGACTTTGCCTCTATCCGCCATCTTGACTACGCCACAGCTCTGATCTCTGACCCTGTCCGTCCTCCGTCCGTCGGGAGTGCTCCTGTCCTTGGCAGTGACGTCCTAGAGGACAGGTAGTATGAGCTTGTTTTCCTGTCTAAGGCTGCTCCCCATCTCTGCTCCATGCTGCAAGTCCCTGAGGGTGACCCAGACGCCTTCGACATCCCGACCCCTCGCACTTACGCTGAGGCGACCTCGGGACCCTGGGCCTCTCATTTGATAGCTGCCATGGAGTAGGAATGGCATCTTGGAGATCCATGGGCACCTACGTTGACGCAGTTCCTCCACCTGGGGTGAACGTAGTCCATGGCTGGTGGCTCTTCAAGGTGAAGCGCCCCCTTGGAGAGCCGTATGTGTTCAAGGCGCGATACGTGGCTAGAGGCTTCAGTCAGCGAGAGGGGTGGACTTCTTTCAGACCTTCGCCCTGACCCCGAAGATGACTACTCTTCAAGCGCTGCTACACGTAGCAGCACGGCATGACTACGAGCTCCACTCCCTCGACTTCTCCACTGCTTTTCTTCAGGGCAGCCTATACGAGTAGGTCTAACTGTGCCGACCGCAAGCCTTCACTGGTACCTTCCCTCCTGGGACCCAGTGGCTCCTCCGCCGCCCGGTCTACGGCCTGCAAAAGGCGATTTGTAAGTGGCACGACACGTTGCGTGCTACGCTAGCTGACATGCAGTTCTTTCCGTCCTCTGCAGACCCTTCGCTCTTCGTTCGTGCTGGCCAGACTCCGTTCTACATCCTGGTCTACGTAGACGACTTGGTCTTCGCTACTGCAGACAAAGACGCACTGGCCTCCGTGAAGGCCGAGCTGCAGAGGAGACGCATTTGCAATGACCTAGGAGAGCTGCGTTGCTACCTTGGCCTGCAGATCTCCAGGGACAGAGCAGCGTGCACCATCACTCTCACATAGTCACACTTGGTGCGCCAGGTCCTTCAGAGGTTCGGTCTTTAGTTCTCCTCCGCACAGCCCACACCTTTGCCAGTAGACTGTAGGCTCTCAGCTCCAGTTCTTGAGGAGTCAGTAGAGCCCAGTGGTCCTTACGCAGAGCTGGTGGGTTGCCTCATGTACCTGGTGACTTGTACTCTTCCAGATCTCGCATACCCTCTCAGCATCCTGGCCCGTTTTGTGGCCACAAGCAGACACCGACCACAGCACTGGTCGGCCGCTAAGAAGGGTTTTGCATTATCTTGCGAGTACATCAGGCATGGGGCTAGTGCTGGGAGGGCGCAGGCCAGTGGTCCTTACTGGGCACACAGACACTTCTTGGTCAGACGACGCTGAGACCCTCAGGTCCTCCTAGGGCTACTGCTTTAGCCTTGGTTCAGGTGCTATCTCGTGGAGGTCCAGTCGCTCCTCGTCTGTCGCCTAGTCTAGCTGCGAGGCTGAGATCTACGCCGGTGCCATGGCGGCACAGGAGCTCCGCTGGCTGACGTTCTTGCTCGCCGACTTAGGTGAGCGGCCTAGCTCTGCCCAGGTCCTGTACGCTGACAACAGGGCCATGATCCTCCTGTGTCAGGAGCCTCAACTTGAGGGCAGGGCGAAGCACATCCAGCTGCGGTACTTCCTCCTGCGTGAGCTACAGCAGCGTCGCGAGCCCCGCGTAGTCTACTTGACCTCCGGTGCCAACACAACTGATACCTTTACTAAGGCGCTTGCGCCTAAAGATCATCAGCGGCACTGCTTGCAGCTTGGTCTAGTTCGTGGAGACTCTCAGTTGCTAGGGTTTTGTTTGTATACTTCTCTGTAATTATACCTTCCAGACTGGCCTTGTGGCTGCTCTTTGAGTGGTTGGACTAGTAGTGCCGCCCTGGTTTGCTCTTGTCCTTGTTTGTACTCTTGCTGACTGGTCTTCGGACTCCTTTCTCAGAGGTTGGACTAGTAGTGCCGTCCTGAGCTGCCCGTTTCCTGCTCAGCATTACCCCTTATCTAGCCTAGGGGGTGTGTCAACTTATACATATGATGTTATGTAGATGTTATAGGCTATATAGGTGTATGTTCTTAGTGGGTACAACTCCAACACTATATCTGTCTTGTTGTCTCTAGTTTTCAATCATTCTAGTATCTTAACAAACGGGGTTCTCCTATGATGGTTTGGTTGGACGGATGCCCAATTTTAGCTGGCTTCAGTGCCATGTATGGTGTAGATCATAGGCTGAAATTCCCAACTTCGTGATTAGCTAGCCTGGTGTTGAGCCGTTATTGGTGCCATGGCAATGTTCTAATATCCGTGGCGATGTTCTAAATTCTGTTATGGCGATATTATAGGATCAGAACTGAAATGTTTTTTATGACATTTGTGTATCTTTAAATTCATATCAGTTGTCCATTTCCAATTTGATGACATGAATAAATGTGAATCAGCCATAGTTAATTGTGATTTGGTGAATTCCTGTGAGTCGCATACCAAAGCGTACATTGTGAACACTATGCTTGTTTCAGTAGGTGACAGCCGCGACGCGATTTTCCCGCCCGGTTTGTCCTCAAAATTCAGGTGCTCGTGCCAAATGCCGAGCCGTCATCCGATGTTCCGATCAGAGCCTTCAACGCACTCGGGCCGCGCAACAAACCGGGCTCGTCAGGCAAGGAATGAGGAAGCTAAGCGAAACAAAGGTGATTACTTCGGCTTCCAAACCTCTTCTGAACCATGCAGGTCTTGTTCCTAACGGCTCCCCAAACCATGACATAATCCCCGAACCCAATTTGGTGGCTCCCCCAAGAGCCAGTTCGGCGAACAGGGCCGCCAAATTGCTCTGTGCCGTACCGACTGGTCCGCCTCGGTTTAGCGTGTCCCGCTCCGCCGCTGTCGCGTCTCTGACCGAATGGTCATTTCTGCCTCTGGTCCGGCAGCTGGAGCTTGACGCCAGAACTGAGGGCTCCACGGACGAGGCCTTGGGATGGCTTGGGCTCGGACCCAATGAGGCCAGACCCGAAAGCTCCCCCTTACATTCTTCCCGAATCTCCTGAGTTGCTCCTTAGACCGTTCCTTTTCTCGCCTCGGTGTTTGCTCCCATCAATAGACACCGGTAGTTTCAAGGCTTCTGGCGAGTTGGAGAAATCCAGGTAGACTCTGTGCGGGTCCTGGGATTGTTATCCTGAGCCATGGCGTTCTCTAGGTGGCCCTCGTGTCTGGTGGTTCTGCTGCTGATCGCGAGCTCGTGCCAAGCTCAACAAGTGGTTCGGCTCGGGTTTCTCCTACCATATCCCGATGGTGACTCCGCCGTCCCGCAACGACTCGCCGATGAATGGTTAGACCCCTCAACCAAGAATGGGTAGACCCCTCACCCAAGAATGGTTTAGATCCAAGAATCTCTCGCGAAGTCACGTTCACGATTCTGGCTCGGCACAAACGGAGTTACGAAAGATGCTTCTGCGGATGCAATCAGCAGCTTATTTTTATCCTAGGGCTGCAGCAGCTTATCTTAATCGCGACAACCCATTGCTCCCGCTGGAACGAAATTTTCATGAGGGGAATTCCAAGACCGAAAGATCAAATCAGAAAAGCACGTGACAAATCCGTGGCCTCCGAGCTTGTGCTTTCCGTGCATCCAATAATTCTTGCATCTCGTCCGTCCGATGCTGTCGTTGCAGGATCTCCGCCGTCCGTGTGGCCCTGGAGGTTCTCGGCCCCAAATACGAGAACAACTTCGTCGTCGAGCCGTTCGTCCAGAACTCCGCATGTGATGCTGAAGTCGCCGCTCAGGCCGCCCAGGTGAGCCTATCTTCGTGAATTGTTTTTTTCCCCCAAAGAAACCAAAGTAGCCGGTGATATTCAGCGTCGTTGAAAACCGTCTTTTCGTCGAGCCGTTCGTCCAGAACTCCGCATGCGACGCCGAAGTCACCGCTCGCGCTGCTCAGGTGCGTCTGCCACGATGGCATTTTCTCTATCCGTGGAGTCTTCAGGTGAGCTTTCAGGATAGGTGGCCGCGTGTTTCCGCTCAGCATGCAGGTGAGCCACGGTTGGTGGTATTCCAAAGGTGAACAGGTGAATCCATCATGATGGTATTCTCTCTCTCTCTGGAGCGTGCAGGAGAGTTTTCAGGAGTATTTTGATAGGTGGCTGCGTGTTTTCTCTCAGTATGCATAGGTGAGCCACGGTTGGTGGTATTTCCTCTTGTCAGGACAAGTGGCCTTGGCCTTGTGACGTGCTGGCCAGGATTCGAGGACGCACTGATGAGGAAGCTTCGTTTCCGTCTGCACTTTTCTCATCCTCCGCGTTGCTGTTTCGACTACCGTCTGTTTCTCGTCATCGTCACCGTCATCGTCATCGTCACTGTCATCGTCATCGTCATCGTCAGCGACGATGCGTCCCTCTCCGTTGGCATCGTCATGTCGCAAGGCCACCAGCCACGATGCCGAACATCTCTGTTTTCCCTTTCTTCCCCTTCCTCTCCCGCGCATTTTCAGCGACTGGTCTTCACGAACGTGGTCGGCGTGGTGGGTCCGGCGTGCTCCGAGGCCGTGAAGGGAGCCAACCCCGTGCTCAAGGCGGCCGGCATCCCTTTCGTGTCGTTCGCCGCCACTGCCGACGGCTTCTCCAGTGACGTCGACTACCCCACCTTCTTCCGCACTGTGTACGTTACTCTCTACCCTCTGGGTAACCCGTTCGCCGTTTTCGCCGCCGTTCGCCGCCACTGCCGACGGCTTCTCCAGTGACGTCGACTACCCCACCTTCTTCCACACTGTGTACGTTACTCTCTACCCTCTGGGTAACCCGTTCGTCGTTTTCGCCGCCGTTCGCCGCCAAAGCGGACGGCTTCTCCAGCGACGTCGTCTTCCGCACTGTGCACGTTACCCTCTAGTACCCTCCGGTAACCCGTTCGTCGTTTTCGCCGCCGTTCGCCGCCACTGCGGATGGCGTCTCCAGCAACGTCGAGTACCACACCTTCCGCACTGTGTACGTTACTCTCTGGTATCCCGTTCGTGAGATCGTATTACCCATACCACTTGTGCGCTACGCCATTCTTTCTCTACCTTGTTTCTCACCCCCGGCTTCTCCCACTTCTCCCCCTCGACCCTTTCCCCCGCGTCTCCGTCTTCTCCCCTCCGTATCTCCCCGTTGCTTATCCCACTTCTCCCCGCCGTATCTCCCCGTTGCTTATCCCACTTCTCCCCGCCGTATCTTCCCGTTGCTTATCCCACTTCTCCCCGCCGTATCTCCCCGTTGCTTATCCCACTTCTCCCTGCCGTATCTTCCCGCTGCGTGCGTCCGTGCTCTCAGCTTCCCTGACTCGGACCAAGCCACGGCCATCGTCTCCGTGGTAAGTTACCCGGACCCTATGTCTTATCCGTGCATCTCAGTATCCGTGCATCTCCTGCGTTCTGCTCTCCTCTACCCCTTCCCTAATCCTTTGCTCCTAGCCGTTTCGGTCGCATGCCCTTTCTGCTGGCTTTTCGTTTTCCGCGTTCCCGTATTTCCGCAGATCCGAGCGCGTAACTTCGACCAGATCCACCTCTTCTATTCCGACGAGCTCTGCGTTCCAACCTCACGCTCTCTCTTGCTCAACACCCTCCCCTCATGCCTCCTCCCTCCATTCCTCCTGCGTATCCTCTCCCGTACCCTTATGTCTCAACCTCGCCCTCCATCCTCTTCATTCCTCTTGCGTATCATCTACCGTCCCCTCTTTTTCGCTCCTTTTTCCTGTCAGATCGAGCGTTTCAACTTCGACCAGATTCACCTCTTCTATTCCGACGAGCTCTATGGAACCTCCCTCGCCAAGGGCATTAAGGTACGCGATTTCCTCGTTGTAAGTCGATTCAATACACTCCACGGCATTTCAACTTCGACCAAGTTCACCTCTTCCCTTCTGACGAGCTCTACGGCACCTCGCTCGCCAAGGGCATCAAGGTACGCGATAGCCTCGTTGTAGGGTGATGCAATACACTCGGTAGAACCTCCTCCGCCAAGGCCATCAAGGTAAGCCATGGCCAAGGAGTATCCGCTAGCCCTCTAGCGGTTATGCTATTTCGCCCTCTCTCGCTCCTCGTTCTCTAACTGTTGATACCCTCAACATTTCGCATTCCCCCTTCCCTCGTTCCCTCGTCCCCCGTGGACCCCCACCGCGCGCGACAAGTACTTCGCGAGCATGAAGCCCAGCAGCGATACGACTTTTGAGTCGACTCTAAAGCGAGCGTCATGCCCACTGGCCAGCAAGTATTTCGCCAGCATGAAGCCCAGCAGCGCGTCCGTCTGCGTCCTCGCCATCGTCACCTCACCCCTCCCTCCCGGTGCTCCTTGTTCCCCTCCTTTTCCCCCTCCTCTCCCCTCCTCCCCCCCCACCCCCCCCCGTCCCTTCCCCCCCTCCTCCGCCCGTCCCCCTCCCCCCAACAGGACCTTCTGATCGGCAACCGCACGCGCGTGCTGCAGCCGATCAGGATCCCCTACCCCGTGGACCCCACCGCGCTCGACAAGTATTTCGCCAACATGAAGCCCAGCAGCGCGTCCGTCTGCGTCTTCGCCACGCTGCCCAACGTGGCAGAGGCCCTGTGGAAGACGGCTTTCAGGCTGGTGAGTAACTCGAGAGTCGTGAGCACTCGATACGATGTTCGAATTGACTATCAAGTGGCTGGTAACGCACTCGATACGATGTTCGAATTGATTATCAAGTGGCTGATAACGCACTCGAAATGATGCTCTCACGTCTAGCAAGTGCCTCTGCTCGTCCTTCGTTCTTCTTACCTTCCCTCCCACGGGCACCAGATTGCAAGGCCAGACTGAATTCCCGTACCTGGGAGCTCAGGGCTAGGAAAGCCGCCCCTTCTCCCCCCCTCTTCCTGTCCCCCTTAGCAGGCCCAGTCTGAGTTCTCGCACCAACCTGTTCGTCCTTGTTTCCTTTCTCCGTTGCCCTCTGCAGGGCCAGACCAAGTTCCCGTACTGGTACCTGGGAGCGGACGGAGCCGTCGCCTTTGACCTCGTAGGCGAAGGTGAGTTGCCTCGTCTGTTTTTTATCACGGACACGACGAACTTGTCAATGTCAGGGACAACCATGCGTGAGGAGCCTATTTTTTAGGAGTCTCCTACTCACGAATTTAATGTGATGAGGGTAAATCCAGACTGGTTCCCCTTATATGTGCATTCTGTGTTTGTGTTTGCGTTGGTGTTTTTTTTTTTTTGTTTGGACAGGCGAGGACCTTGCCAACCTCACACACGCCCTGCAGGGAGAGATTGGCGTCGGGCCTTACAGTAAGTCGAGGGCTTTCGAGTGGCGTTTCTGTCTTTCGTCGGTTCCCCACTGCCGCCGTTTTGGGCTTGAGGATCTTTCCGACCTGAATTTTCTAGCGGGTAGCTAGTTTTGTCCCTGATGATCGTCTGCTCCCAGTGCTCCATCAAAATTCTGCTGCCCGTGCACACCCCTCTAACGAAATCTTCTGGCGTTCCAGAAGCGCCTGCCTGCCCAACTCTGTCACTCTTGTTGCTGATTTGATGGTATTAAAATCTTGCTGTTGCGCTCCCCCCCCCTCCCCTCCCCCTCCCCCTCCCCCCACACTTTCTTACCACCTGCGCACGTCCCCCTTCAACGAGTTCAAGACCAAGACGCACGAGGAGCACCCCGGCCTTCTCGTCCTGCTACCTCTCTCATTCCTCCTGTTGTTGCTCTTCTTTCCAATGTGCAGAGGGCAACTACCACCCGCGCACGTCCCCCTTCAACGAGTTCAAGGACTTTTGGGCCACCAAGACGCACGAGGAGTACCCCGGCCTGCTCACCCTCGACGTGTCTCCCAGGGTGCGTTCGTCTGAGTGGATGATTGTGACAGCTAGTCGACGTTTGGGTCGTGCCGTGCCCTTGTGACAGTTAGTCGACGTTTGGGTCGTGCCGTGCCCTTGTGACAGTTAGTCGACGTTTGGGTCGTGCCGTGCCCTTGTGACAGTTAGTCGACGTTTGGGTCGTGCCGTGCCCTTGTGACAGTTAGTAGACGTTTGGGTCGTGCCGTGCCCTTGTGACAGTTAGTAGACGTTTGGGTCGTGCCGTGCCCTTGTGACAGTTAGTCGACGTTTGGGTCGTGCCGTGCCCTTGTGGGGTTGGGTTTGACTGTCTTCTGGATTCATGCTTCTCTTAAGCCGTCTTACCCTCCCTTTACCTCCCCTCCACAGTCCCACCTTCCCCTGTGACCATCTCAGTTAACGGAAGCCCGCGCCTATGCCAGCAACCTGATCGACTCCATACATGCGCTCTTCTCTAGTCTCTTACATCTCACGTCTCCTATACTTGCTGTTTTGCCTCCCTCCCCCTGCCAACACCCCTTGTGACCATCCTCAGTTCACGGAAGCCCGCGCCTATGTAACCAACCTGATCGACTCCATCTATGCGTTCTTCATAGCGTTTAACAACATTGTTGTCACCCAAGGTGCTGAACCACTGCTCCTCCTCGTCTCTGCTCCTCGTCTCTGCTCCTCGTCTCTGCTCCTCTCTGCTCCTCTCTGCTCCTCTCTGCTGGTTTCAAGACTGGTGACTTATTTAGCACAATCCCCTCCTGTTCTCTCCCCTCTTTGGCCATTTTGTTCTCATGAACCTTTCCGTTGCATTGTTGTCACCCAAGGTGCCGTCACCTCCTCCTCCTGCATTGTTCTCTGCTCCTCCTCGTCACCTCTTATTTCAAGAGTGGTGCTATTCGCGCTCCCCCCTCCTGTTCTCTACACGACTTTGGTTAGCTTAAACACTGCCACTAAATTCCCCTGGCGCTCCTAGTTCATTGTACTTCAATTCAGTCACTTCCAGGCTCGGACATGCTTTTTCAATTTCTTTTGATATTTTTCCTCTCGGTCTCTGTCCCGAAGGCCTGACGTCTCCCTTTCCTCCCCTCTCTCTCTCGCCCTGTCCAGGCAAGCACGTGACTGCTCCACTGCTGCTGGACATGACTGCGTGGCGTTCAACGGCACCTCTGGCCGAGTGTGTTGGGTTGAATCCGAAGTTCTTTTCTCCTTTCCTCCCTTTTCTCCCTTTCTCCCTTTACCTTTCTCCCTTTCGCCCTTTCGCCCTTTCTCCCCTCCTCCCTTTCTCCCCTCCTCCCTTTCTCCCCTCCTCCCTTTCTCCCCGTCTCCCTTTCTCCCCTCCTCCCTTTCTGCCCTCTCCCTTGTCTTGTCCAGACAAGGTCGTGACTGCTCCACTGCTGTTGGATTGCTTTACGGGCATTTCCAGCTGGTGCATGGCGCTCAACGGCGCCTCTGCCACGGTGTGTGGGCTCAATTGTTGATTTCTCCCTTCCCTTCCTCCTTTTCTCCCCTGTCTCTCGCCGGGTTCAGGCAAGGACGTGACTGCTCCACTGCTGCTGGACTGCTTCCGGGGCGTTCCGTCCGACTGCGTGGCGTTCAACGGCGCCTCTGGCACGTTGAAATTCAACAGCAGCACGGGCGAGAGGGCGACAGAGGCGTCGGTGCCGCAATACGGCTTCTACAACCTCATCGACGTCACGTGGAAGGTCAGTACGGTGCCTACAACCCAGTAGTAGCCTCTATGGTCGCAGCAGTGCCGCAATATGGCTGTTACTACCTCATTGACGTCACCTGGCAGGTCAGTATGTCTCCTGATCCTGATCCTGATCCTGATCCTGATCCTGATCCTGATCCTGATCCTGATCCTGATCCTGATCCTGATCCTGATCCTGTCCCTGATTCACTCTCTGTCGTGTGTCGCCTCCCTTTCCATCTCCCAGGAGAGGAGCAAGTGGGTGCTGGGCCTACGACGTCAACCGCAGCCTGGACTGCATTGAGCGCTCGGGCCTGCTGTCCCTGATGTCTTATCTCTCTCTCGAACGGCCCCCTCTCTCTCTCGAACGGCCCCCTCTCTCTCTCGAACGGCCCCCTCTCTCTCTCGAACGGTCCCCTCTCTCTCTCGAACGGCCCCCTCTCTCTCTCGAACGGCCCCCTCTCTCTCTCGAACGGCCCCCTCTCTCTCTCGAACGGCCCCCTCTCTCTCTCGAACGGCCCCCTCTCTCTCTCGAACGGCCCCCTCTCTCTCTCGAACGGCCCCCTCTCTCTCTCGAACGGCCCCCTCTCTCTCTCGAACGGCCCCCTCTCTCTCTCGAACGGCCCCCTCTCTCTCTCGAACGGCCCCCTCTCTCTCTTGAACGCCCCCCCCCCTCTCTCTCTCTCCCTCTCTGCCTTTGCTCTCCTTATCCTCGTTCTTGCAGGAGAAGAGCAAGTGGGTGCTGGGCCAGTACGACATCAACCCAGCCTGGACTGCATTGAGCGTCCGGGCTCTGTCTACCCAGTGTGTTGGTACTGGCCACAATGGTCTTTCCCTCCCCTGTCATAATCCTCTCCCTCTCCTGTCACCCTTTCCCCTGACCACCTGCAGGAGAAGAGCAAGTGGGTGCTGGGCCAGTATGACATCAACCCCAACCTGGACTACATTGAGCGCCCGGGCCCACTGCCCGCGAACTGGAAGGGGGACCTGGAGAAGCAGATGGCGGCTAAGGCTGCGGTGATCCCGGCCGGCATTGAGAACGCCCAGCCTGTTTCGGATACGTTCGACACCCTGCCTGGTGCCAAGGAGAAGGTGAGAAGATTTGAGAGGGTGGAAATAGTGAGTAAGAGGATGGCAAGATTGAGCTGGTGCGAGCCCAGGAGGAATGAAGGTGAGAAGCATGAGAAGGAAGGAAGGAAGGAAGGTGAGAAGCATGAGAAGGAAGGAAGGAAGGTGAGAAGCATGAGAAGGAAGGAAGGAAGGAAGGACGGTGAGAAGCATGAGAAGGAAGGAAGGAAGGAAGGACGGTGAGAAGCATGAGAAGGAAGGAAGGAAGGAAGGTGAGAAGCATGAGAAGGAAGGAAGGAAGGAAGGTGAGAAGCATGAGAAGGAAGGAAGGAAGGAAGGTGAGAAGCATGAGAAGGAAGGAAGGAAGGAAGGTGAGAAGCATGAGAAGGAAGGAAGGAAGGAAGGAAGGTGAGAAGCATGAGAAGGAAGGAAGGAAGGAAGGAAGGTGAGAAGCATGAGAAGGAAGGAAGGAAGGAAGGTGAGAAGCATGAGAAGGAAGGAAGGAAGGAAGGTGAGAAGCATGAGAAGGAAGGAAGGAAGGAAGGTGAGAAGCATGAGAAGGAAGGAAGGAAGGAAGGTGAGAAGCATGAGAAGGAAGGAAGGAAGGAAGGTGAGAAGCATGAGAAGGAAGGAAGGAAGGAAGGTGAGAAGCATGAGAAGGAAGGAAGGAAGGAAGGTGAGAAGCATGAGAAGGAAGGAAGGAAGGAAGGTGAGAAGCATGAGAAAGTTGAGGCAGCCTCCCTGGAAGGCATTGAGAAGGCCCAGCCCGTTTCAAGTCAAGGGAACTGAGGGAGAGCTTGCGTGCGCTTGCCATTGTTGTGCACATTGATATCTCATCCAATGCCTGATGCAACGACCGGATAAGTGTTCCGGATTAGCGAAACTCTGTTTCTTGATGCTACTCATATCCCCGTGTGTGTTAGCAGGATTACAACACCACCACTACCAAAGCGCCTACACCCTCTGGTGGTGGAGGTGGGCCCAGCACGGGAGCCATTGTTGCTCTCGTGTTGGTTATTCTTGTAGCTGTTGGAGTGCTGGGATACGGTGGATGGTACTGGTACAACCGTAATTACCGCCACCCGGAGCATCAGACCTTTGTCCGCATGCTTTGATAAGCACGACGTGCAGAAGGTGACTTGTAGTGAATGATAGGCCAGGAGTACAGCATATTATTAGATGCGCTAAATTTGCGTGTTTTTCTTTGCTTCATGCCATGGGAGCCAATTATTTCGGAAAGTTAGCGACATGTATGGCTGTGACATGAAGCATTAGTTTATTTTGAGATGCTTCATTATTAGATTACTATCAACTTTTGCAAAACGACCACAATATTCATATGTATATTTCCATGCCTTGCACATGTCACTAGTGTGGTGTATTTGTCCTGTTGGGCTTTCCATCGACGTGCGTGGCGATTGTGGTCCGATTTTGAATATGTGAGATTCGATTCTGTGGTTATGACGTGGACAACTGGGGTGGTGGGCCCACTACGGGTGTTTTCCACCAGGTGTAGAAAACACCACTTTTGATTCGAAATAGACTCGCACAGGTGACGAAGCAAATGGGTCTGCCGTGGCCCTTCCGCTTACGGCTGAGGATGCTGTGATCATTCTGGGGATTTGTAACTCATGCGGATGGTTGGCCCACTCAGAGCAATCCTGAGAAACAAGGATGCCTGCGAGCGTAATCCTCCGTTTTCAGGGAGATTCCGACGGATGCCTGACGTCAGAGAGCAGAGAAAAGAAATAGTGTACAGTAACGAAAGTCCCGATTATGTTGCCTTGCAGCACCAATCTCGACAGTAATTTCCGCCCAAGTTCTCTGGGACGTGGCACTCATCTCGATCGCATCGCATGGTACAGATCATATGCGATTGATGCAACGGCGACTAGCGCAATTTTTTCGCAGGTGTAATTATTCCGTAGGTGCAATACCCATGTACGCACCCGGCCAATGATAACATTCGCAGCCACCATGCGAAACATAAGTCTCCACCATTAGAAATCGTGTGTTCCACTTCAATGTGCTCCTGAGTGGTCTACGACCAGTTGCGAGCACAAGGTCTCACAAACACCAACAAATATCACCGTTGTGGTCCACCTAGTCACCACTTAGAGGGTCAATCGGTAAGGAGATTTAAAACATTAGGGTGCAACAGCCAAAAAGACCCGCGCACTAACCCAATGTTGTTCCTGTATCGTCGTGACCAGGTGACGAGTTCCCTGTTTTCTTCGAGAACTTACAGATGTTCAGGTGGCGCTGTGGGATATGTTGAAGTTCGTTTGGAGACCATGGGGCAGTTCAAAGGGGCTGGCTCAGCCCGATCTCGTCTGTGGGTTTTCTCACACTTCGCCATATTTGATCAAGAGCAATGTGAAATTCCATTTCAGAATGTGATAGAGCGCGGAACCGACCGCCGGGGGTATTTCCCAAGCACATGAAGCACTGGTGGTGTACTCTGGAGTGACGAGTGTTGACCCAACAGAGAGGGTAAACCACTAAGGAGATTTAAAACACTGCTAGGGGCAGCACCAGCCAAATAGACCTGCGCACTGTAGTGAACCGAATGTTGTTCCTGCACCGTCGTAAGCAGGTCAGAGGAGTTCCCTTTCTGCTTCGCGAGCTCATTGATGGGTGTTCACGTAACCCTGTGGGATGCGTTAAAGTTGGTTTGGATGTCTGGGGAAGTTTAGAGGGGCTGGCTCAAACCATTCTCGCCTGTTTTTTTTTAACACTAAGCCATATCGCGTCCAGGGAAATGTGAAATTCCATCTTGCAATGTGATAAGAAGCCGGTCTGGGAAATGACTGTATCCACATTTTGATTCTATGTGATACAAGGCTACCGAAATTAAAGTGTACACATTTCACGCATCGCAAAAATTGTTTACTGCAAACTTGTACACTGCGTTTGGTTGGACCAAATGATGGCCGACAACCTTTGTCTGCTAGTTAACTCTTTCCTTCCCAACCTCGTTTCCTCCTCTCACCCCTCTCGCCATTCCTCCTCCCCCCTTCTTATTGCCCCTGGCACAGCCTGGGTTCTGGTCTGGTCCGACCGAGCCAGAGTGGCATGTTTGGCTGGGGAATACCAATCTTGACGTCGCAATACCGAGGTATAACCACTGGTACCATTTTAAAACGTCTTTTACCGCATGGAAAATCTACTCACCGAGACGCCGCTCTGTCAATCTAGAGTTCTCAGTTAGTTCTAGTTTCAGTCTGACTGACCGCAGCCTCTCGTCGCATTCTCTCGCCTCGGCCTCTCACGTCACGCGCAATTCGCCGCCGCTCTCCTTCTCGGCCGCACCTCGCACGCGGGTTGGCTGCTTGCTCCTGCAACCAGCCTCTCTCCTGTCCGCGGGCCAGCGATGTTTCTGCCCATGCTTTTGGGGCAGAAACATGTCTCCCTCCACACTTCCCTTCCCCCCCCTCCCACCCTGTTCTCCCCATCACTGTAGTTTAGAACGCTAGAGAGAAGCTTGAGCGGAAGTTCAGTTGCCTGAAGTTAGGGCGTGGAAGCTATCAAGGACGTGTAGGGAGCGCTGAGAAGTGCAATAACCCTAGCTTCAAGCCCGTCCACGTAAGCAGTCCCTAAATACGAGTATAGGCATGCCACGGTCAGAGGTCGCGTGCGCAGTAAGAGCTCCAGATCTAGTTACTAGAAACCCTATTCCTCTCGTTCGCAGTAAGAGCTCTCACCCCCTCGTCAATAGGGATGCGCCGTCGCTCCCCCAAGCGCACTCTCCGCGGGAACACGCAGGCGCGCACGGCCGCCTTTCCTCGTGCGGAATGGAGCTGCGCGGACACGCGGAGAGCTTGAGCAGACACGCGGAACGTGGCGGGTGGCGGGAGCTTAGCGCCGCAGACCCCAGGCGCAATAACGCAGGCCTCGATAATAGGAGCCCCGATAGCAGAGATGGAGACGCAGGCAGCAGCGCTGGCCAATCACGCTCGTCCGATTCTTCCGCGCGACCCTCGTCGCGATCCCCGTCAGCTTTAGCGCTCCGCCGCGCTCGTCCGCCGCGTCTCCAGCTTCCCGCTCAACCGGGCAGCACCGCAATCGGCGGCAGCGCGAATGGCAGCAGCGGCCGCGGCGGCGGCGGTGGCGGTGGCGGTGGCGGTGGCGGTGGTGGTGGTGACGGCGGCGGTGGCGGCGGTGGCGGTGGCGACGGCAACGGCTGCAGCAGCGGCAGCGGAAGCCGCGTTTCCCCGTCGTGCGCGTCCGGATCTGCGCGATTTTCTCCCGCCGGGCGGTTCACCCCCTCCCCCCGCTCCGCCGTTCCCTGGTCCCCCACGGATTCGACTTGCTCCGCCCCGCCCACTCTTTCCCGCCCTCTGCGCTCCCCCGCCTCCCCCGCTTCCTCCGCGAATCCCCCCGCCGCTTCCAACTCGCTCTGTCTCGCAAGCCCTCAAAGCACCCCGAGCGAAACCCCCCAAGAGATGGTTGCCCCGTCGCCTAGGACCCGCGGAAGTGCGTCGCGCAGGTTCCGCGGGGGGGTTGCGGAGTCCCGCGGAGTGCCTCCGCCTGCGCGCGCGCAGCGGTCCGGCGGGGCGGCGGGGGGAGCGGTGGCGGCGAAGGTGGCCGCGCTTCGACTGGATGACGTGGCGGAGGTTTATTCGTCGGATGAGGAGTTCCTGGACATGTTCTGCGAACGCGACTCGGGTATTCGCGACGACTTTCGCGAACAAGGAGTGCGCGACCACACTAGCAGCGGGAACAGCGTCGCAGGGCGACAATCGTCGCCGACCGTCGCAGGCCTCTCTGCGACTGGAGCGCCGTCGTTGGCGCAGCGCTTCTCTTTGCCGCACTCTCTCTCCGTCCCCCTCCCCCCGCCTTCTCCCGTAAGCGCGCGGCGGGCGCTGCGCAAAGCGTCGAGCTACAGCGACGAGAAGAACGGGGGCAGCGGAAGCGGTTGGCGCAACTCCCGCTTGGCGCAGGGTAAGGCGGGCGGGTTTCACTGCTACGTGGTGGAGGAGTCCCCGCGCACTCCCGCAGGGAGCCGCGCGGATGGTTCCGCAAAAGGGCCCGCGCAAGGGCCCGCGGAAAGGCTCGCGGAAGGGCCCGCGCAAGGATCCGCGGACGGAGGTGTTTGGGTTTCTCGCACCGACGCAGGTGACAATCGCGCGACTTACGGTGGGGCGTGGAGTCATTCTGACCGTTGGATCGACGACGCGGACGATTCGATGCCGCCCACGCCGCGACGTCAGCAGCAGCAGCCGCCGACGCAGCAGCAGTCGATGCAGCAGCAGCAGCAGTCGACGCAGCAGCAGCGGCAGAAGCAGCAAGAAGCGGGGCAGGAGCGACAGGAGAAGACAGAGACGCATCAGCAGCCGACCCAGCACCAGCAACAGCAGCGGCGGCGCGAGCTTCAGAAGCAACGGTCAGCTCCCGGAAGTCGAGGCGGCTCGAGATCCGGACGCCACGCGCCGCGCGACATTACGGGGAGTGAAAGCGCGGTAGTTACTCACAAGACGATAAGTCAGTCTCGAACCCATCCCGTGGCGATAACCAGCGTTGTGGCGAATGACAATAGGCCAACCAGCGGAGTTGCGCCAACCAGCGGAGTTGCGCCAACCAGCGGAGTTGCGCCAACCAGCGGAGTGGCGCAGACTCACCCCGCATCTCGCGGAGACGGCGCGCGTGTCTCATCACTTACGAGTCGCGGCTCGGCGGGGGCTTTAAGTGGGCGATCGCGAAGCTCGTCGGATCTGCTGCGCACCAATGCCTCCCCGCTTCTCCCGCCTTCCCCTTCCGCCGCTTCCCCCTCCGCCGCTTCCCCTTCCGCCCCTTCCCCTTCCGCTGTTTCCCCTTCCCCTGCCTTCCCGCACTCTCTCTCCGCTCCCCCTGTCCGCCCCGCGCCCGCTCCCCACTCCCCCTCCTCCTCCTCTTCCGCCGCCCCCTCCCCCTCGTCGCCTTCCCCTTCCTTCCCCGCCTTCCCGCGCACCCCGCTTTCACGCCCTAGTATTAGAGTCGCCACCGTTACTGCTCGAACCGCGGTGGCTGCTCCAACCTCCCCTCGCTATTGTCCCACGTCGCCACGTCATTGTCCGCCTTCGCCGCGTCAGCAACCCCCATCATCGCCACGTCACATTCCGTCCTCGCCACGTCACAACCCGTCTTCGCCACGCCACATACCTTATTCGCCAGATCAGCAGGCCCCCGTCTCGCCACGTCATTTCCCGACCTCTCCACGTCACTACCCCCCCTCTCCACGTCACTGCCCCTCCTCGCCACGTCACTACCCCCCCTCGCCACGTCACTGCCCCTCCTCTCCACGTCAACTTCCTGGATCCCCACGTCAGCTTGACGCGGCGCCCTTGTCTCCTCGTCGCCCGACGGGGATCGCGGCGGCGATCGCGGCGCATGCGGCGGCGGACGCGGCGGCGGCGATTTCGTCCGACGTGGACTCGGACGAGGAGGCGATGGGGATCTTAAACGCGCTGCGGCGGTCGCGCAGCAACCCGCGACTCGCGCCGACGACGCTCCCGCTAGTAGGATCATCAGCTGCTCAAGGCTCTGCGAAAGTGACCGCGGAAGGCCCTGCGACTGCCAGCGGTGGTGGGGATGGTGGAGGGGGTGGTGGTGGCGTGTACGCGTCTTCTGCAGGCCACAGTAAACAAAGCTACAGTGAAAAAAACTACAGTGAACAAAGTTACAATGAATTTAGCAATGGTCAGTTGCACAGAAATAAGAGCGCTGGTAGTGTGGTGACGGGGAGGAGGTCTCTGGACAACCCTCGATTTTTGGGGGGGTTTCAGAATCAACCCCGCGCTAGAGACGCGGAAAATATTATCCCGCCAGAATCACCGGCTTCGGATTATTTCGTTCCCCTGCGCCGCCAGGGCTCCCTTGCAAGTGGCATGAACAGTGCTGGTTCTTCGGGCGGCGGAACGGGCGGTAGGATGAGCCGTGGGGCGGGTAGCACCAGGCGGCTGGAGAGTCTACCGCCAGCAGAACGGACAAGGCCCAGCAGCAGCCATGGGCTTGTTGGCAGAAACGGCCCTGCTTATAAGGGGGATATCCAGGCGGGGGTGGGGAAAACGGAGGTTGAAGGGGCGAGACGGAGAGGTGAGAAGGTGGGGAGGAAGGGTGGGAGGGTGAGTGAGGTAGGAAATATGAGTGAGGGGGGGGAGTGTGAGAGACGGAGGAGGTACGGCGCCGGGCTGGGCACTCCGTTGCTGGTGGGGAGGGGGAGGGAGATTGGCGACATGAGTGAGGGGGGAGGTTGTGAGAGAAGGAGAAGGTATGGCGCTGGCACTGGCACTGGCACTGGCACTGGCACTGGCACTGGCACTGGCAGTCCGTGGCTGGTGCGGGATCGATCAAGAGGCTCTCAGCAAGGGGAAGAGAGGAGGGAGTGCCGTGCTGGACAGGCTGAGGCTGGCGCGGTGATTCAGGGTGACTCGGGAGACGTGGGCGCTGCTTCTGAACAGGCGTTGCGTGAAGAACGAAGCGGGGATTGCAGGGATGGGAGGGATGGGAGGGATGGGAGGGATGGGAGGGATGGGAGGGATGGGAGGGATGGGAGGGATTGCAGGGATGGGAGAGGTCAGAGGAGCTGGGAGAGCATGGGTTTTCCAGGGAGTATTAACGAGGAGAGAACCCTAAACCCTGACCTCGGGGCGTGGGGGCGTGTCGTGGGGAGTCGCAGCTTCACAGCGGGTGGAAGCGAAGCGCTGGTTGGGGCGGGCGAAAGAAGCCCACTGACTGACAGCCGTGGCAGCCGGAGCTGCTCCTGGCTTAGAGGCAGTGCCAGTGGCAGCAGCAGCGGGAGCATCGGCATCGGTAGCAGCAGTGGCAGCATCAGGGTCGGCAGCAGCAGCGGCAGTATAAACACCAACAGCGGCAGTATGAGCATCAATAGCGGCAGTAACAGCAGCAGCAGGAAAGTTGCTGCGAGCAGCGGCAGTAGCAGCAGGGAGTTGGTTCCTTCAGCTCCAGTGGGATCCGTGGCAGCAGCAGCAGCCGCTGCAGCTGCTGATGCCGACATGAAGTCAGATGCTATTTTCGAATTGCACAGTGCTCACAGTGGTGCCATGAGAAGGAGGTCTACTGATAGCGGTTTGAACAGCCTAGTTTTGGATTACCTTTATGGGGAATCTGACGAAGAGCAGTTTCGTTACGGAGTAACCGGCTTGGCGGATTGGACTGGGGGAAAGGAGGAGGTGCTAGCAGCAAGGGAGCTGGTCCGAAGGGGAGAACCTAGCTATGGAGATGTGTGCCAAGAGCCGGGATTTCCTGGCTTCCGGGAATATCGTCTGGATGCTTATATGGAGGATGAGGACGAATTCGAATTCGGTCATCCTCTCAGGAGTCGCAGCTTGACTGCAAGGTCTGTTGGTACAGTGCCGTACTCTTCAAGGGAATACGGTTTGGAGACTGCTGGTGGTGGTGCCCGCAGTAGCAGCAGTGGCTGTGATTATACGCTCGATGAACAGTACAGAAACCTGAGGGAAGAAGGTGGCATTATGGCGCAATACTGTACTAATGGGGCGACTCAGCAGCAGCAGGACGAAGCGGGCTTGTGGGGTGGAGGGGAGAGTGCGGGATGGGGGGAGATTAGAAAATCGAGGACTCTCCCGATTGATCCCATCTTTCATGACATTTGAGAGATGGGTAGGCTTATTGGAGGCAATTATTTATCCAATCTGCTCAAATGTCTGATTTCCCCTTGATTTGTTGTAATATGATGCCCAGTTTGTTTCAACATTTGTTAATGGTCAAAGACTCGGGTTGTGGTGTATTTATTGGGCGTCACTTGGCGAAGATCCGCAATTTGGATTATCGAGTCCCATCCAGGTTCCCGCGCGCTTCCTCCTGGTCAAGTGACTGCGGTCGCAATCTCCAGCCAATGGCAGCCTGTCGCAATCACTTCGTCAACGCATCGCCAGCGACAGCCTCGCAAGAAAAAATCAGCTTCTACTGGATGCGACGCCTGTCATCAGTCGCTCGGTCCCGATCGCGACTCGTGTTCGCTCCAAATGACGCCTGCTGAGACAAATACGTCCAATCTGACGGCGGTAAACGTATGTAGCTTGTATGCTTCAGTCATCGCACGGCCAAGCATGCTTCTTGGGATGTGTGCACATTCATGCATGGTGAACAGAGGCACTCTGGTATTACCATGCCGTACTGTACAGTGCAAAGGGCTTTCAAATCTCGAGAACTGGGAGAAACTCGATGGTTTCTCGATGCTCTCTTGCAGCCTGGATTGAGAGGAAAGCCTGTTCCTAGTAGCGCACGTGTCTAGTTCCAGGTGGGAAAATCGAGGCTGTCTTGATAGTTAGCTTGAAGCGTGAATTCAGGAAGCCTCTTCTTAGTTCGAGTTAGAAACTGTTCCTGGTTCCACGTTACTAGAGAAGCCGCAGGCGTCGGGCTCAGTGAATTATCGGAAAGCTGCGACCTCGTAGTTCCCTTGGGACGCTGTGAGGGTAGTAGAATCTTGATACTGCACAGTCTACGACTCGTAAATTACCCGAAAGCGCTTTCTTTGGACCCGAAGTAATCGACACCAGAAATTCAGGCAAAACGAAGGGTGTTTAGCGAGCTCACGTGGTTACCAGCCCCCTGAATCTCGCAATGGCTGACACCAGGCGGCCTCCAGAAAGATTCCTCGCAACACACTCGTATACTCACGCCTGTCTTCAGTCACGCAACTCTCTTCTACAATCACCCTGCTCTCTAAAGTCACGCAGCTCTCTTCTACAGTCACGCAGCTCTTTACGGTCACGTTTGCTCCCTCTGTTGTTCGTCACTGCTCTGCTCTCCTCACTCACGTCGAGCCTGGAAGCCGAAGCTGCTGATTCGGTTCGGCAGGTGGTGAAGCTGGGTTTCCTGCTGCCCTACCCGAAAGCCGACCACGTCATCCCCGTGCGCCTCGCGGACGAATGGTACGCAACTCGTTTCTTCGCGCCTCTTTTGCTATCACAAGCGCCCCGTAGACGGCTGATTCGCACCTGCTAGCCTACCGACACGCTCCGCTGCCTTATCTTGAAGCCGACCATGTCATCCCCACGCGCATCGCGGACGAATGGTACGGGCCTCGTTTCTCTTCGCCTCTTTTGGTATCACACACCACACACCTGCTCACACACCACACACCTGCTCACACACCACACACCTGCTCACACACCACACACCTGCTCACACACCACTCACCTGCTCACACATCACACACTTGCTCACACATCATCCTTCCCTCACTTCCTCACTTATCTCACGTGGGGTGGCGTTCTCACCTCACTCGCTCACCTCCCTTGCCCTTCCCCCCCCTCCCTCTCCCTTCCCCCCCGCCTCCTGCTACACCTGGCATTCTGTACTGTAGCCATTTTTTAGGCGCCTCAAAAAACGAATTGCTTTGGAGGTCCTGGTCCGGATCTCAGCCTATCGTACAGGCCTGATGGCCTGCCACGCACCTTCCTCCTGTGGTTTGAGCCGACTCAAAATACATTCTGTATTGCAGCCCTACCAGTTGCTTTGGAGGGTCTGGGACTCACCTTATCATGCAGCTCGTATCTCCTATGGTCGGCCACGCACCATCCAACTGCTACCCCGCTGATCCCATTCCTTGCTGTCGTTCTCTCTTTCTCTCTCCCCTCCCCCCTTTCCCTCCTCCGTCCACAAATCGCAGCGTCAAGAGTTTCTCAGGAGGTCCTAGGTCCCACGTACCCTTACAAACACCGGTGCCACGCAACCCTCCAACTGCTACCCCTGCTACCCCATTCCTTGCCCATTACCTCTTTCTCTCTCCCTTCCCCACCTTCCCTCCACCCATCATCATTGCCCTTCAGGATCGCGGCCTCAAGAGTGGCCCTGGAGATGCTGGGTCCCAAGTACTCTGACACCTTTGATGGATATTGCAACTTGTCATACTGCCAGCCTTCTCCTTCTCTCACTCTCTCACTTCCCTCGCTTCTCCCCCCCCCTCCACCCTTTCGCCCCACTCGTTCAGGATCGCGGCCTCAAGAGTGGCCTTGGAGGTGCTGGGTCCCAAGTACTCTGATACCTTTGATGGATATTGCAACTTGTCATACTGCCAGCCTTCTCCTTCTCTCACTCTCTCACTTCCCTCGCTTCTCCCCCCCCCCACCTTTCGCCCCACTCGTTCAGGATCGCGGCCTCAAGAGTGGCCTTGGAGGTGCTGGGTCCCAAGTACTCTGACACCTTTGACGTGGTGCCGCACATTGCCAACTCCAACTGCGACAGGCAGGAGGCCAAGGAGGCCGCCCAGGTGAGCAGCAGCCGCCCATGTTACCTTACACTGGTGCCGCAGAATCCTCCTGGAGTAGCACTGGGAGGTGCTGAGTCCCCCCCTCCCGAGTCCTCTGATACTTTCGACGTGGTGCCACACATTGCCAACTCCAACTGCGGCAGGCAGGAGGCCAAGGAGGCAGCCCAGGTGAGAGGGGATTGCCGGTGTTACCTTCCACTGATTAGTTTTGAGGCGCCTCAAAACCAGGTGAGAGGGGTTTGCCGGTGTCACCTTCCACCACTGATGCGTCAGAACTGTCCTGGAGTGGCCCTGCAGGTGCTGCGTCCTCTCAAGTGCTCTGATCGGATGCCGTTGACGTGGTGCCTTTGAGAGGGACACAGCACCTTGCGTGGTGCCGCACATTGCCAACTCCAACTGAGCTCTCTCCACCCCTCTCCACCCCTCTCCACCCCTTTCCATGCCTATCATTGTATATCCCTGTCTGCCCCCCCCTGCAGCTGCTAGTAAGGGATGGAGTGGTGGGCGTGGTGGGGCCAGCATGCACCGAGGCCGCGCTGGGAGCAGCAGACGTGCTCGTGCCAGCTGGCATTCCGATGGTCTCATTCGCTGCCACGTGGGATGGGTTCAGGGATCGAGGGAGATTCGGCACCTTCTTCCGCACTGTGTGAGTCACGGGGCGCTATGCGTACAGTATGGGCGGTAGGTGTCTCTTTTTTTTAGGCGCCTCAAAAATAGACTCTTCCGCACTGTGTGAGTCACGGGGCGCTATGCGTACAGTATGGGCGGTAGGAGTCCTCATTCGCTGCCACGTGGGATGGGTTTAGAGACCGGGAGAGATTCGGCACGTTCTTCCGAACTGTGTGAGTCAAGGGAGGTTGAAGGGAGTTTTTTTGTGTTGAAGTTGAATCGAGGAGAGAAGGGCGGATCGCAGCACATGTGCTCGTCTGGTGCCTGCTGCTGCCATTCTCACGTGGCATTCTCCTTGTCTCATTTGCTGCCATGTGGGATGGGCTCCGGGATTGGTGGAGATTCGGCCCTTTCTTTTGCCCTGCGTAAGTCATGGGAGGTAGACTTGGGCGGGTGGGCTGAATCAGTCAAGGGCGATGGGAAATTTCTTTCAGGAGGTGGTCCTGCAGACGATTAGAAGTGCTGCGTACCTCTGAGCAAAGTGCTGCGTACCTCTGAGCAAAGTGCTGCGTACCTCTGAGCAAAGTGCTGCGTACCTCTGAGCAAAGTGCTGCGTACCTCTGAGCAAAGTGCTGCGTACCTCTGAGCAAAGTGCTGCGTACCTCTGAGCAAAGTGCTGCGTACCTCTGAGCAAAGTGCTGCGTACCTCTGAGCAAAGTGCTGCGTACCTCTGAGCAAAGTGCTGCGTACCTCTGAGCAAAGTGCTGCGTACCTCTGAGCAAAGTGCTGCGTACCTCTGAGCAAAGTGCCGCGTACCTCTGAGCAAAGTGCTGCGTACCTCTGAGCAAAGTGCCGCGTACCTCTGAGCAAAGTGCTGCGTACCTCTAAGCAATGTGCACCTGCCTACCATCCCCACCATCCCCACCATCCCCACAGGTTCGGCGACAGGCACCAAGCAGCAGCCGTGCACTCTCTCCTGCGAGAGTTCGTGTTTGAAAAGATCATTCTCTTCTTCACTGGTGATACTCACACGCCTGCACCCATGCGCTCCCTCCTCCAGGAGTTTGTGTTTGACGAAATCATTCTCTTCTTCACTGGTGATACTTACACACCTGCACCCATGCACTCCCTCCTCCAGGAGTTTGTGTTTGACGAAATCTTTCTCTTCTTCACTGGTGATACTCACACACCTGCACCCATGCGCTCCCTCCTCCAGTCATGCAATTGGCTTCTCTGCTGCTTGCCCCCATGCCTGTTGGTGATTTTTGAGTCGACTCGAAAATCGCCCACCTTTCAGGTTCGGCAACAGGCATCAAGCGGCGGCCATGCACTCTCTCCTGCGGGAGTTCGTGTTTGACAGAATCATTATCTTTTTCGAGATACCCACTTACACACCTGCACCCATGCGCTCCCTACACCCACGCCCACCGTCCACACAGGTTTGGCGACAGGCACCAAGCAGCCGCCGTGCACTCTCTCCTACAGGAGTTTGTGTTTGACAAAATTATCCTCTTTTTCACAGAGGAAACATATGGGTCGGCGCTGGGATATGATATTGAGGTGAGTGTCTTATTATGTGTGCCGCAAGCTTGCATGCAGACGAGCGAGTGATCATCATGCATGGATGCATGCAGACGAGCGAGTGATCACCATGCATGCATGCATGCTGGCATGCGTCCCTTAGTGATTCGAGCAGTCTCTCTCTTCTTCAGTGCACAGACGTGCGTGCCTTGGTACGATTCTCTTATCGGCGACTGATTATGACATTGAAATGAACGGTGAGTGTTGCCCCGTTGCATGTTGGGATGGCGTTTCAAGGCGAGAGTGGGTTCTTTTAGGCGCCTCAAAAAGGGTGCCAGGTGTGAGTGAGTGAGATTAGTGCACCATCATGTGCGCCAGGAAGGATTAGCAAGACTAGTACTAGCACCGGGTCCCACTGCTAATCATCCTCCCCTCCCCTTCCCTCCCCTCAGCTGTATGTGTGCAGCGACAACCTCTTAGTTCACAATATTCCCGTGCCAGTGCCCTGCTCCAACTACTCCTCCCTCTGTGTTTGATGCTCCTTCACACCCCCCCCCCCCCCCCCTACCCACCCCTCGCTTCCCCCTCCCCCCCAGCTGTGCGCGCGCAACGACAACGTCTCAGTGCACAGCATACCCGCTTCAGCACCCTGCCTCAACTTCTCCTCCCTCTTCCTCCCACTGCTTCTTGACTACCTCTCTCCCCACCCCCCCCCCCCCCTCAGCTGTATGCGCGCAACAACAACGTCTTAGTGCATGGAATACCCATGCCAGTGCCCTTCTCCAACCACTCCTCGCTCTTCCTCAACCTCTCGGATCCAAGCCCATCCAACTGCTGCCGATCAGTGCTGTTCTTCCCTCCCTCCCCACTCCCTCCCCCCCCCTCAGCTGTATGCGCGCAACGACAACGTCTCAGTGCACAGCATACCCGTGCCAGTGCCCTGCTCCAACTACACTTCCCTCTTCCTCAACCTCACCAACCCAAGCAAAGCCCTTATCCGAGCCGACGACTCCACGGTGGTGGTTCTCGCCACCACACCCAACGCAGCAGAAGGCATCTGGCGGGCTGCTTTAGACCTGGTAAGTTGTAAAGTGCTGTAAAAGGTGACTTGGCTTAAAAGTGCTGCTCAAAAGTCGCATCTGGCGGGCTGCTTCAGACCTGGTAAGTTTTAAGTGCTGTAAAAGCCCTACAAGAAACCGGATCGTCCCTCGGGCTCAAGCCCCAAACGAGCCCCCCAAAGCCCCTCCAAGCCCCGCCAAGCCCCTCCGAATGCAGCAGAGGGCAACTGGCGGGCCGCACTTGACTTGACCTGGTGAGCCCTGGTCCGTGCTGTGCAGAAATACACCCATTGGGCTACAGGTAAAAGCCCCTCCAAGCCCCTCATCCGAGCTGACGAGTCCACGGCGGTGGTTCTCGCCACCACGCCCAACGCAGCAGAGGGCATCTGGCCGGCTGCTCTAGACGTGGTGAGTATTAAAGTGCTGTCAAACCCCTACAAGGAACCTGATTGTCCCTCGGGCTCGGGTCCTAACAAGCTCCCCTGAAGTCCCTCCAAGCCCCTCATTTTGGTGGTGAGCTCCTGAGCCCCTCCAAGCCCCTCATTCAAGCCGATGACTCCACGGTGGTGGCTCTGGCCACCACGCCCCTATGCAGCAGAGGGCATATGGCGGGCTGCTCTAGCAGTGGTGAGTAGTAAAACACTGGCTAAATTGCCCAGACATGGTTTGTCTCCTTGGCAGAAGTTACGTTCACTTCCTCACTCACAATTCCTCACCCACAATTCCTCACCCACAATCCCTCACCCACAATTCCTCACCCACAATTCCTTCCCCCTCCCGTCTGCCCACCCTCTCCTCCCCCCCTTCCCCCCTGCCCCCCTTCCCCCTCCCCCCTTCCCCCCTCCCCCCTCCCGCCCTTCCCCCCGTCCCCTTTCCCCTACAACATGTCACCGAGGTCTATTGAAGTACCCTGGTGGTAATTTGGAGCCGTGGGCATAGGGTGGTTTGGTCTCCATAGTTACCAGCACAAACACGCTCCCCCCCTGCCCCCTTTCCCCCACCGCCAACTCATTCACCAGGGCCTGTTGAAGTACCCTTGGCGGTATTTCAAGACGGATGGAGCCTTGGGCACAGTGTGGTCTGGCCTCCAAAGTTCTCCTCCCCCGCTCCTTCCCGCCCCTCCCCCCTGCCCCCATTTCCCTCCTATCCGTCTCCAGGGCCTGTTGAAGTACCCCTGGTGGTATTTCGGGACAGATGGAGCTGTGGCGTTCGATCTGGTGGGGGAAGGTGAGATAGGGGGGAACTGGGGAAGGTGAGATAGGGGAGAACTGCGGAAGGTGAGATAGGGAAGAACTGCGGAAGGTAAGGGGGAAGCTGGGGGGGAAGGTGGAACATTTTTATGGTGAAAAAAAGCAGGTAGAAACCGCCCGGGAGCGTGAGGACAGACGTGCGTGGGGGGTATAGCCTATAGGGAGGAGGGGTTGCAGGTGGGTGGTGTGGACGTAGGGGGGGCGGCATACTGGCTGGGTAACATGTCGTGCGCAGTGGTGCCACTGTATTTTGAGTTGACTCAAAATATACTGGCTGGGTAACATGGCAGTGGTGCGCAGTGGTGCCACTGAGGGCAGTTCTCTCCATGCGTGGTGACGTTTGAGTCGACTCAAAAGGCACCTCGTTACCAGGTAACATGGCAGTGGTGCGCAGTGGTGCTGCTGAGGGCAGTTCTCTCCATGCGTGGGAGTGCCGTCCTCAGTGGCAAGCTGACAACCGCCTTACCGCAACCGCAGTGGAAGGGAGAGCTGTTCTCAGCAGCACCACTGCGCACGCCATGTTACCCAGCCAGCACGCCGCCGCCACGTTTGCCAACAAGAGGTTAGCCAGTCTTCACACTGCAAATGCAGTATCAGCCCTTCGTGTATCTTCCAGAAACTCTCACCTTTTGCACCTCCCTCGCGTTTTTACCACTTGTACCCTTTTTCCGGTGCTTATTTCATGACTTTTGAGGTGCCTCAAGGCTTATTTCCTGTTCCCTTTTGTACCCTTTTGTACCCTTTTGTACCCTTTTGTACCCTTTTGTACCCTTTTGTACCCTTTTGTACCCTTTTGTACCCTTTTGTACCCTTTTGTACCCTTTTGCACCCTTGTGCTTATTTCCTGTTCCCTCCTCTCTCCCCCTCCAGGTCAGAACCTTTCAGCACTGGCCTCAGCCCTTCAAGGCGAGATGGGTGTTGCTCCTTACAGTAAGTGACGTTGTGGCTTGCCACGTGACCTACGGGCTTACCATGTGGTTTATGGCTTACCGTGTGGCCATGTGGCCTGGGGGCTTACCGTGTGGCCTGGGGGCTTACCGTGTGGCCTGGGGGCTTACCGTGTGGCCTGGGGGCTTACAGTGTGGCCTGGGGGCTTACCGTGTGGCCTGAGGGCTTGCCATGTCGCCTGAGGGCTTGCCATGTCGCCTGAGGGCTTGATATGTCGCCTGAGGATTCGCCATCTCGCCTGAGGGCTTGCCATGTAGTCTTGGGCAGGGTGGGAGACGAAGGGAGAGTGGCACTGCACCACTCCGCTTGACCCTTCTTCCACCCCACCCAGTCAGTACCTGCCAGCGCTGGCACCAGCCCTTCAAGGCGAGATGGCGGTTGTTGGGGTCATTTTTAGAAATCCCAAAAGGACCGAAGCAGTTCCCCATGAGGTCACCGCCTGTTAGCTGTAGAACCCACCCGTCGATCCAAGCTTGGTGTTGCTGGGTGTTTCCCATGAGGTCACCACGCCACCTGACAGCGCCGGTTTCATCCCTGCAATGGGAGCTGGAGGTTGCTCCTTTCCCCTCCTCTCCCCTCCTCTCCCTCCTCTCCCTCCTCTCCCCCCTCTCCCTCCTCTCCCTCCTCTCCCTCCTCTCCCTCCTCTCCCCCCTCTCCCTCCTCTGCCCTCCCCATTCTCCCCTTATTTACCAACCCTCGTCATTTTACAGAGGGGGACTACTCCGACTCCTCCCCCCCGTGGGAGTACACGATGCACTGGCAGTCGAAGACGCATGACATCTACCCGGGAGTATCCCCTTCCAACTCCACCCATTCCTCCTCCCCCCCTCCTCTCCCTCCATCACCCATCAGAGGGGTACTTACTAATCCGACTCCTCCCCCCTGTGGGAGTACATAATGCGCTGGCAATCTAAGCCGCATGACATCTACCCGGGACTGCTCACCATAGACGTAGCCACGTATCCCCTATGGTCCTATTTCCTCCCCCCCCCCCCCTAATTTCCCGTTGCCTTATTCTCCCCTCCCTCCTCCATTCCACCAGGGGGCGATTACTCGGACTCATCCCCTTGATGGGAGTACGTAATGCACTGGCAGTCCAAGCCGCATGACGTTTACTTCCCCTCCAAACCCACACATTCCTCCTCCCCCCCTCCCTGCATCAGAAAGAACACCACTTGGTGGTAACTAGTTTCGGCAGGTGGCTGCCTTCATCATTCCTCCTCCCCCCTCCCTGCATCACCCATCAGGGGGTGACGACTCCGACTCCTCCCCAGAAGATATCCATTATGCACTGGCAGCCCAAGCTGCATGATATCTACCCTGGTCTGCTCACCCTACACGTTGGCCCCTGGCTCATATGGTCAAGTCCCTCCCCAACCCCCCCACCAGAGGGCGATTACTCGGACTCGTCTCCTCTATGGGAGTACGTCATGCACTGGCAGTCCAAGTCGCATGATATCTACCCGGGTCTGCTCACGCTGAACGTCGGGCCCTCGCTCCCCCGCTTCAACTTCACCCGCCAATACGTGCCGTACCTTTTTGACACTGTTCACGCCTTCTTTGAAGCCTTCAGCAACATCTTCACCAATCAAAGTGAGTGGCTTAGTGGGTGGGAGTATCACTCTCAGTTGCACTCTAGACGTTGGCCTCTCCCTCCCTCCCTCCCTCTCCCCTCCGCTCCCTCCCCCGCTTCAACTTCACCCGCCAATACGTGCCGTACCTCTTTGACGCTGTCCACGCCTTATTCGAAGCTTTCAGCAACATATTCACCAACCACAGTGAACTTAGTGTTTGGGAGTAGCACTCTCAGTTACACTCTAGTCGTTAGCCCTTCTCTCCCCCGCTTCAACTTCACCTGCCAATATGTGCCGTACCTGTTGGACTATGTTCTCGCTTCTTCGACACCTTCAGAAACATTTCTACCAACCAGAGTGAGTGTCTTTAGTGGGTGGGAGTACCAGCATCCACTCGTGCTCTATTCGTTGGCCCCTCCCACCCTATCCCTCTCCCTCTCGCTCCCCCTCGTTCAACTTCACCCGCCAATGCATGCCCTACCCGAGATAAGACTGTTCACGGCTTCTTTGAAACCTTCGGCGACATATTCGCCAAGCATAGTGAGTTTCCTGAGTCAAATTTTCAGTCTGATTCACCCCCGCTACGGGCCTACGACACTTGCATGTGTGTGGTTGTGAGGCGCCTCAAGACGAGCCAGCCAGTGGGAGTTCTGCGCCAGCCAGAAGGAATTGTTTGAGGCAGCCAGCCAGGCAACTCAACAGTCTGTTTTTTTTTACCCCTGAATACTGCTGGCCAACAACACTTGCATGTGTGTGTGTTTTGCGGATGCAATGCACCCACTAAAGGTCTTGTGCTGGCGTGCTTTGAAGGCGGTGTGTACACATTTCAAGACCTCCCGATACTGGTGTATAAATATTTATTGATGTATATATATGCATGTGCCTTTTGTCCATGTGTATTTTTGCAGACGCAGCGCCCTCAAAGGAACTTGTGCTGGCGTGCTTTAAAGGAGTGCCCCGGGGGTGCATCAACTTCACGGGAGCCACAGGACAGGTGAGGGGGGGTGCAGTCCGGTACAGTGTGGCACAGTGGCGTGCTTCAAAGGAGTACCATGCGGGTGCATCAATTTCAAAAGTGCCAAAGGACAGGTAAAGCGGGGTACAGATGGGTGCGGGTGAGGGAGGGTAGCAGTTGAGGGTGCTGTAGGGTAGGGGGTTTGGCATCGTGTGGGCAGTGAGGGGAGCCTGGTTGCTTGAAGAAGGCGCCGAGGGGGTGCATTGACTTTAGGGTAGCCACCGGAGGAGAGGCATGACTGGGTGGGGTGGGCATTCAGGGGAGCATGGGGTGCGTGTAGTGGCCGGCCAGGGGGGTGTGTCAACTTCTCGCGGGCCACAAGACAGGTAAAGCAAGGTGGGTCGAGCTTTCAGGGGAACATGAGGCGTGTACAGTGGCCGCGAGGGTGCATCAGGTTCAAGGGAGCCACAGACAGGTGATTTAGGCTAGATGCATATTGTGAGCATGGAGGGTAGATTGTGCATCTGGACGGGATAGAGTGGCAGGCGAGGGCTCCGGGGGAGCAGAGGTGACAAGAGGGATTCAATTCAACCCCACTCCCTTCCCCCCACCACCAACAACCACCCCCATCCCACTACCACCAGGTGACGTTCAACCCAGCTACAGGTCAGCGCCTCAAGACCCTATCCCAGCCGCCGTACAGCATTGTGAATCTGGAGGGGATAGAGTGGCAGGCGAGGTAAACCCTCGTCCGTCCCTGCCTGTCACCCCCGGCCCAACCCCCCGCCACCAGGTGTCGTTCAACCCTGCTACATGAGAACGGCTGAAGAGCACAACCCGTCCGGTCCACAGCATTGTGGATCTGGACGGGACAGACTGGCAGGCGAGGGCCCGGTGGGAGGAGCAGCAGCAGAAGGAATTACTCTACTTGCATCCCTTCACCCCACCCCCAAACCCCCGTCACCAGGTGTCATTCAACCCTGCTGCAGGAGAGAGGCTGACGAGCATGTCCCCACCGGTGTACAGCATTGTGAATCTGGACGGGATAGCGTGGCAGGCGAGAGAGCCCGGTGGGAGGAGAGATAACAAGAGGAGAACCCACTCCCTCCCCCCACCACCAACACCACCCCACCCCTTACCACCAGGTGTCTTTCAACCCGGCCGCCGTACAGCATTGTGAAACCCAGCAACACCACCCCACCCCCTTACCACCAGGTGTCTTTCAACCCTGCTACTGGAGAACGGCTGAAGAGCATATCCCCCCCGGTGAACAGCATTGTGAATGTGGACGGGATCGAGTGGCAGGCGAGAGAGCCCGGTGGGAGGAGCGGCAGCAGGAGCGATTCACCCTCGATTTCTCCCTAATCACCCACTCTGGTTTCCAACCCTCCCTGATTGCTTGATCCCATCTCCACCCCCACTCCCACCCCCATTCCCATTCCCATCCCCACCCCCTTACCACCAGGTGTCTTTCAACCCTGCTACTGGAGAACGGCTGAAGAACATATCCCCCCCGGTCTACAGCATTGTGAATCTGGACGGGATCGAGTGGCAGATGAGGGCGCGGTGGGAGGAGCAGCAGCAGAAGGAATTACTCTACTTGCTTCCCTTCACCCCACCCCCAAACCCCCGTCACCAGGTGTCATTCAACCCAGCCACTGGAGAACGGCTGAAGAGCATATCCCCCCCGGTGTACAGCATTGTGAATCTGGACGGGATCGAGCGGCAGGCGAGGGCACGGTGGGAGGAGCAGCAGCAAAAGGAATTACTCTACTTGCTTCCCTTCACCCCACCCCCAAACCCCCGTCACCAGGTGTCATTCAACCCAGCCACTGGAGAACGGCTGAAGAGCATATCCCCCCCGGTGTACAGCATTGTGAATCTGGACGGGATCGAGTGGCAGGCAAGAGCGCGGTGGGAGGAGCGGCAGCAGGAGCGATTCACCCTCGACCTTTCCACCATCACCCGCCCTGGCCCCCTGCCTGGTGCTGCTGCTGCTGGTGGCAGTAGCAGTGGTGGTGGTAGTGGTGGTACTGCTGGTAATCGTACTGCGGGGGTTAAGGAGGCAGAGGGGTATTCTGCTCCCTCGGCATACGATGCCTTGAATCAGGTCAGTGGGGAGATTGGTGATTTTGGTGTGAAGAGCCAGGCTCAGGGGCAAGGGTACACTGGGAGTGACAGCAGCATCAGCACCAGTGCCACCAGCACCAGCGGTAGTAATAGTGGCAGTGGTGGTGGTGGTGGCAGCAGCAGCAGTGGCAGCACCCGCAGTAGCAGCAGCAACGGCAGTAGCTCCCCCTCTTCCTCATCAATGCCTGGTTATACCGTAGCTCTGCTCGTCCTTCTATCTCTCACCCTCCTGTGCCTCGTAGTGTACCTCGCTTATATGGGGTACAGCGGTTGGAGGCGCAGGGAGGAGGAACAGGGGCGGCAGGAGTATCTAAATCACCAGCAGCAGCAGCAGTTGCAGAAAGAATCAGGAGGGGATGTGTATTTGGCAGGATGGAAGGGAGATGATGGGGGAGGGGAAGAGTATGTGAGGCGATACAATGGTGATGGGGAATGGAGGGGCGTAGGGAGTTGGGTTGGTGGGTTTGGGCTGGGGAGTGGGTTTAGCTTGGGGGGAGGAAGAGGGGAAGGGGGAGGAGGAGCGGGTGGGGGAGCGGGAGGGCTAGGGTTTGGAAGTGGGCTTGGCCTTGGGGTTGGGGTTGGGGGTGGGGGGATTGATGATGGAGATGATGATTTGGTTTTGGGTGGAGGGAAGGGGACTGGGAGTGGGAGGAAGGATGGAGATAGGGGTAATGGTGTTCTGCACGGTGGGTTGGATGGCTTGGAGACTGATACTGACCCCGAGGGTCATAAGCAAGTGTGGGTGCATATGCTGTAACAAACATTGCTTTGTTTGTGGGGTAGTGTATATCTGTATAAAATGTGTGAATGTATGTGTGATAAGCAACGTAGTGTGCGGTTTGAAACGACTATTACATTCAAGAGGCCTTGCTACCAACAACAGTATTATTGGCAAGACACAGGAAAGTGTACTGTCTAGTACTGCGAGAAGACATTTTACTGGGAAGGGAATGTTGATGGCAGATTTGCATGTGGTGGCCATTTTATAAGTTAGTGTCAACAAGTATATTTATATAGATTAGCTATGTCATATTTGTTTATAGCCTATCAAGTTTAGTTAGCGAGTACAGCCCTAGTTTTGTATCCCTCGACATCTTCCCTTAGTCACCACTTTTCCCGCTACTCCTGCACGCCAGCCTGCACGCTAGCGAGCTCGCCAGCCAACGCTCCAGCTAGCTAGCCAGCCCGCTAGCCAGCTCACTAGCCAGCTCGCGCCCGCCAGCCCCTTAGTTTGTAGCCATCCCACCTCGCGCCAGCCCGCCTGCTCACCTGCTCGCCAGCCCGCCAGCCTGCACGCTTGCCAGCTCGCACGCTCGCCTGCTTGCCTGCTCGTCCGCTCGCCTGCTCCCTTGCTCGCCTGCCCGCCAGCCCGCCTGATCTCCAGCCCGCTTGCTCTCCAGCCCGCCTGCTCGCCAGCTCGCACGCTCGCCAGCCCGCCTGCTCGCCTACTCGCCAGCCCGCCACCCGCCTGCTCGCCAGCTCGCACACTCGCCAGCCCGCCTGCCTGCCAGCCTACCTGCTCGCCAGCCCGCCAGCCCACCTGCTCGACAACTCGCACCCTCGCCTGCTCGCCAGCCCACCTGCTCGCCTGCCCGCCAACCCGCCTGCTCGCCAACCCACCTGAGCGCCAACTCGCCAGCTCGCCTGCCCGCCTGCTTGCCCGCTCGTTTGCTCACCAGCCTGCCTACTCGCCTGCATGAGCAGCCAGCAGCCAGCAGTGCCAGCAGCCAGCGCTAGCAGCCAGCAGCGCCAGCAGCCAGCAGCCAGCTTGCTGTCTCACCAGTGCCACCAGCGCCAGCAACTAGCCGCCAACAGTACACTCCCATCAACCAGCAGCCCATTGCCACCAGCCAGCAGCCAGCGCCGGCTAATGCCACCCACTGCCACTACCGCAACTACTACTGCCTGCTCCTGCCTACTGCCGCCCACTGTCGTTGCAGCCACCACTACCGCAGCCACTGCTGCCGCCACTGCCACTGCAGCCGCCTTGGCTACTCCTGTCGCCACTGTTATTGCCCACCGTCAGCTTCGGCCTCCAGCAGCCGGCCACCGGCCGCCAGCACCAATCACCAGCTGCCAGCAGCCGACCGCTGACCCTCAGGCGTTAGCCGCCAGCTGCCACCACTCGCGGTCGGCCGCTGACCACCAGCCGCCAGTGGGAGCCGGCCGCCAGCTGCAATCGCCAATCGGCTGTCTGCCACGTGAGTCCCCCGTGCCCTGTGGACTGTCCTTCATCCTGTGCCGCCAGTCCTAGTGCCTCCTAGCTAGCTCCTTGGCGTACTGCTCCTAGTAGATCCTCTCGTGCGTACTTCCTACTCGTTTGCTCCCCACTCCTCCTACCAGGTCCTAGCCTACCGCCAACCGCCAGCTAGCCGTTACTGCCGTCATTTTCCGCTGCTGCTGCTAGCCTCGTGCTCGCTGCCACTGCTCCGGCCACAGTCGCCACTGCTACTACCTCCGACTGTACTCCTCTAGCAACTATACCTCCCACTATTCTCCTCTTTTCTAAAGTTCCTCGACGCCTCTCCTCTCGGCATGATGGCTTCGTTTGGGTCAGTCCCTCGGCCAGACCACCGGGCACTTCCCTCCGCTCTCCGATTTCTCGCCCACCGTCTACAGCTGGTGAGCCCGCACCTAGACGGCACACTCCTAGATGATCACATTAGTTACCTCCTAGGCTTTTGGCTCCACGACCTCGATGTTTGCTTTAGCTGCAGTGCCGTGCCGTAGCTGCAGCGGTAGCAGCAGCAGCAGCAGCTGCTGCATTGGGGTCTTGGGGGTGCTGAGCGAGGTGGAGGCTCTGGAGGTGCTGCCCTGGGGTGGTCACTGCCCTGAGGGCAGTGTGGTTTCTCAGAAGGACCGGGGTCCTTGTGGCCTAGGGGTCTAGGTTCCACCACTGTGTCTAGTATAGGAGCCTCTACTACGTCTCCCCTAGGCTCCTCCCCTGCCCCTCCTGCGGCGGCCCTCTCTTTTGTCATTGACTCGGGCACATCTCGTTGTTTCTTTAGGGACAGCACTGCTCCCATCCCGCTTCCTGCGCCCGTCCGCGTTGCACTATTAGACTCCTCCGCCACAGCTGTCGAATGTAGCACCACCACTCTCCCCTATTCAATTGTCCCCTCCGGCTCCCTCACCGGTCTGCACATCCCCTCGTTTGCCAGGAACGCAGTGGGTGTCGGTCACCTTCAGGACCGAGGCATCACAGACGTAGTAGAGGTTCCTGAAGATGGTTGTACAACATATTCTGCCACTACGTTCCAGTAGAGGTTCTGCCAGGAACGCAGTGGGTGTCGGTCACCTTCAGGACCGAGGCAACACAGACCCATTCTCATCTGAGCAGCTCTCAGAGAAAAGGTTGTAGTGGCAGAATATCCTGACCAGGAGTTCGTCAGGGAGCTGATTGATGTGCGTTGGAGTCCTCATAACAGAAACCAAAACTACCAGCAGGAAAACGGCTGATGAGCAACGCAACGATCTCCGTGAAACCGAAACAACTCGTGAATAGAAGAACAGGAGCAATAGAAGCCGGAGACGAAGAGATAGCGGCCGAAATTGCGTCGTTATGCACTAGCTTGGAGACACTAGCTGCATACTGCTAGCTCGCTGCTTCTTGTTGCAACATAGACAGAGCTGAAATATGGTTTCGACGGTGGGGGGGGTTCCAGAAAACAAGTTGCTGCTCCAATTTTAAACCGAATGTGGGTACGGTTGGAAACGTCTAAGAAAGGCACAGTACGGTCCTGTTTATATTCAGAACGATGTAACGCATCTAACTTTGGTGCGGAGAAGTGGAATTGGTTGGAGGAAATCGGAGGTGCGAGGCGAGGCGAGGCGATGATCAGAGCCGAGCTGAGCCAGGTGAGTTGAGTCATTGACTGGCGAAACCAGCAGCTCTTGGGAAGGTGACACAAGCAGAAGCTGATCCGGCCCTCCATTGAGCCACAAGAATTGTTTTGTTTTCAGGAGAAATAGTTTTTTTGGGAAGCCAGGTCGTTGTCCCCAAAACGAGCCAAACAGGGCTGCAAATTCAATCTCACTCATCGGATTTGTTAGAGCGAGGAAATCGGGAAGCTCACCTGGTCGCACTCGAAGAAGAGTGGCAAACCCATCAGCGTCATGTACACTCCCAGGGAGTGTTCTGATGTGTAGCTCCTCTGCACAGGCAGGTTTCGGTGGCACATCTCAGAATACACGAATTTTAAGCAACCCATGCTTTGGACCCTGGAAATTTAGCATCAGCTCGTACATGAACACCCCAAAGCCTTGCCTTTCCTTGCAACCCATTTCAACTTATACATATGTTAGTATGTAGAAGTTATAGGCTAGATAGGTGTGTGTCCATAGAGGGTACAACTCCAACCGTATATTTCCCTTGTTCACCCGTGCTTCTATTCATTCTCGTATTCTAACATGATATCACAGTAGGTTAGGTCTGCCCACCCGCTTCCGCCCCTCGCCTAGCCTACCGCCCCGTCGTACCCTAGCCTACCGCGCCCCGCCGGCCCCTAGCGCGCTGGCCGGCCCCTAGCGCACCTCGTTGCCCCTAGTGTGCTCGTCGGCCCCTTAGCGTCACGCCGGCCCCTCGCGCCCAGCCGGCCCGTAACGCGCTGTGCCGGCCCCTCGCGCCGTGCCGGCCTCGCGTGCCTAGCCGGCCCCTCGTGCCTAGCCGGCCCCTCTAGCCCAGCCGGCCCCTCGCGCCTAGCCGGCCCCGCTCGCCTAGCCGACCCCTCTCCTGTAGCCGACCTTGCGCCTAGCCGGCCCCTCGCCCAGCCGGCCCCCCCCGCACCCAGCCGGCCCCCGCGCCTAGCCGGCCCCCGCGCCCAGCCAGCCCCCCCGCGCCTAGCCGGCCCCTCGCGCCTAGCTGGCCCCGCTCGCCTACCCCTCTCACGTAGCCGACCCCACGCTAGCCGGCCCCTCGCCCAGCCGACCCCCGCGCCCAGCCGACCCCCGCGCCTAGCCGGCCCCCACGCCTAGCCGGGCCCTCTCGCGCACAGCCGGCCCCTCGTGCCTAGTCAGCCCCTCTCTACGCGCCGGCCCCTCCCGCACCTTCTCGGCCTTTTGCGCGCCTCGCCGGCCCCTCGTGCGCCTCGCCTCCTGGAGCGCCCACTGGCCCTCCCGCGCCACTGGGCCCCCAGCACTCCGCCGACCCTTTGCACTCTGCCGGTTCTGCGCGCCTCAAGAGCTGCGCGCCTCGGGCCCTCCTCGGCCTCCTGCCAGGTCTCCTCGCCGGAGAGTCCTGCCGCCACGCCGCTGTGCCGCCGAGCTGCTGAGCAACTGTGCCGTTGTGCCGCCGTGTCCCTATGCCGCTATGTCCCTGTGACACTGTGCCGCCGTGATGCTGTACCGCCGTGTACCTGTGCCGCTGAGGCTGCACGATGGTGGATGCCGTACTTCGCCTGGACGAGAAGGGGCACGCGATCGACTTCGCGGCCTGGCTTGTCGATCTTCGTCGGCACCTGACAGGTCAGCACCATGATGGGCACTCCCTGGCTATGCATGTTGATGGCTTGCTTCCCCACCTCCCCGCGCCTGATCCCCTCCCTGCTGATCTCACCACTGCTAAGAGTGAGGCCTTTGCTGCTGCTACGCTCGCTCACACTATCTGGGATTCTCGCGATGCTGTAGCACAGCTTGACATTAGTCATGCGCCTCCCCTGTTTGAGCGTCCGCGCTTCACTGCCATCGTGAATGCCAAGGACTTTCTAGATGCCGTAGTTGCGCGCTACTCCACACCCGCCTCCGCCTCCGCTGGCTGCTTGATCCTCCCCATGCTATTCCCTGATCTTTCCGCCTTCCCCACTGTCGCTGACCTCGCTACTCACCTCCGTGCACTAGAGACTAGCTATCACGCTGCTAGCACTGCCGCCCAGCTCACTGCCTTCCCCCCACCATTTTGTGCTATACCTTATCGCCATGCGCTTGCCAGGCCGCCTAGCCACTGCCCGTGACCACTTTCTTAGCCAACACCCTGGTGACCTCACCCTGATCGCCTTTGTCACTGCCCTTTCTGAGTTAGAGACTCGCCAGCGCACTATTGCTCAGTCGAGCGGTTTTGCGGCAGTCCCTATCTTTCAGGGCTGTGCTCCCTCCAAGTGCACGTACGCTGACGTTTCCGCCGCCATCGCTACAGCTGCTCCTGCCACTGAGACCGCAGCAGCGGCCTTCCTACAGCAGCAGCGACAACGCAGGGGTCGTCGTGCTCCTAAGGGAGGGCGTAGTGGTGGTGCTGGTGGTGGAGGTTGTGGGGGTGGAGACAGTGGTTCGAACGAGGGGGCTTGGGTAGGTGTCCAAGAGCAGCAGCAGTCGGACTCGCAGCCACATTAGCAACAGCCGTGGGCCCGCCTCCCACCGGGGTGGCCAAGTGCCCCTGGAGGTGGTGGCCGCGGTGGTGGTCCTCACAGCTCGGCGTCTACCGGCGGCTTCGGTGCTGTGGGCTACAAGTACCAACTCCAGACCGGGCCCCTCCATGGCACTGTTTGCCGCCACCCGCTCTCGACCGCCCGCTACTTCCGCCGCCTCGACATCTGTTCCGTCGCTGCTTCGGCCCGGCCCCGGACCTCCCTGAGTGGCCCAGTCTGCTGCGCTACGGTGTGCCTGTGTTTGACTTAGACATGGATCACATTAGTTCTGCCCTGCATTCCCTGTATGCTGACGCGTCTAGTGTGTCAGGATCTTACTGTTTTACCATGTGTTCTCTAGCTTAGGTGTAGCACATGTGTGTAGTCTAGACACCCCTGCTGCATCAGGTGTAGGACCGCTTGCTTTGTCTAGCCTAGGCTCTACCCTTGCTCCTCCTTAGTCCACCATTACCGCTTCGCTGTTCTTCACACTTGACTCCGGTGTGTCTGTCTGCTTCTTCCGCGACCACGCTGCGCTTACGCCGCTTGCCGCACCTGCTGCTGTCGCACTTGATGACCCCTCCTCTGGTCCTGTAGTTTCACGCACTCTACCCTTCCCTGTCCAGCGGTTCCCTTGGGTTCCCCCCACAGGCCTGCACATCCCTTATATTTCCCTTGTTCACCCTTGCTTCTATTCATTCTCGTATTCTAACAACCCATGCATTGGGTACTAGCAATTCACCATCGCCGCGTACATATCATCAACGAATCAGAGTTTCAATGACCAGTTGCCATCAAACAGCTGCTCACTCTTGAATGTTAAAAATCTGCAGCACCTTCAGCTTAATCAGCCCCTTAGTCAGAGGTCTCAGCTGCTTACAACTATCCAAGGCATTCTAAGGAGACACCATCAAACAGCTGCTCACACCCTTGAACGTCCAAAGTCTGCAGCACCTTCAGCTTAAGCAACCCCGTCGGCAGAGCCGTCAACCGACTACAACCATCCAGTGTGAGCGTCTTGAGCCTGGTCAGCTGGTCGAAGTCAGGGGGAAATGAGCGGATTGCGGAATTCTTAGCATTCAGCTTGTTCAGGCAGGCGAGCTGGGTGAGAGAAGCAGGCAGCCGCTCCAGGGCAGAGCAATTAGCCAGGTCCAGCTCTCTCAGCCCGGACAATGCACCAACGCCCTCAGGAAGAGAGATCAGGCTGGGTGCATGCACCTCCAGAGACGTCAGGCGCTGCATTTCCACAATACTTGCTGGCAGCTCAGTCAGTGCCTCGGCATGCTGGATCTCCAACCGCCACAGCTGCTTCAGGGACGACCCCAGGTCCATTGGAAGTGTTTGGATCTTCCCAGCAGACAGAATCACCAAGGTGTGAAGCTGGGAGAGGAACGTCAGAGGGAAGGGAAGCTCTTCAGCGTCATCAGCCAGTATCAGCTCCAGGTACTCCAGATTCTCAAGATGAGATACGCCCTTGCTCGCTGCCAACCCACACTCCACAGTAACCCGACTCAGGCTCAGCTTCTGCAGTTTCGGCAGCACAGAGAGACCCCGCAGAGGGGTAACCTTTTGCTGGTTCCCCAGGCTCAGAATCTCGAGCGAGGGCGGGAAGGATTCAGGGAGCTCCGTCAGTGATTCGCATCCTTTTATCTCGAGCCGTTTGAGCTTCGTAAGCCTACTCAGCTTGCCTGGTACCGAAGCGAGCTTGCTGCACGTTGCAATTGTCAGGATCTCCAGGATCAAGAGGGCAGTGAGAGACTCTGGAATCTTTCTGAAATTGAGGCAGTTCCGAAGGTGCAGCTGCTGCAGGTTCCTGATCTCGCCCATGCCTTCAGGGAGATCGGTGATCGTGCACTGATCGAGTTCGAGCCTGGTGAGGGAAGTCAGCTGCGTGAATGAGAACGGAAACTGCTGCTGCTGCGGCTGGTGCTGATGCTGCTGCTGCTCACCAATGTTGCTCAGGAATAGAGTTTCAAGGTTAGAGAGACATCCGATGCTTTCCGGAAGGGCACTAGCGGCAGTTGAAGGCAGAGCGTCCTGAGAGCAGTGAGATTGCAGAAGTCTGCGGGTAACTGGTGGATCTCGCCGCAGCCAATCAGAAACAGCGTCTCCAGGTTGCTGAGGTGGCAGAGAGAGCCAGGGAGGTGAGCGAGAGGCAACAGGTGCAACACCAAGGTTTTCAGGGCAGGCAGGGCGATGTTCTCGGGCAGACTGAAAAACAAATTGCTGCAGGAAACTGTCAAGCTCTCCAAACGGCTCATGGACGTCAGCTTCTTGGGCAGATGAGAAAAGGTTTTGCAGCTTTCAACAGTCAGCTCACGGAGACACGGCAGCATTTCGCCAATGTTATCAGGAAGGGTCTCGAGATTGTTGGAATTAGCGATCAGCAGCCCCTCAAGACGCGTGCAGGGCAATCCCGAGGGTGTCGTCAGGTTAAACTGGTCACAGAACGCCTCAATTCGCAGGGACTTCAGGTGGGGTAACTGCGTGATGGCAAACGTGGCGGAACGCTGATCGCTGGGAACGAGATTGGTGTTGTCGGAGACTGAAAGCTCGGTGAGCCGAGGGAGGTGGACGAGGCGTGACAGCTGCTGCAGATTCAGATCCAGGGTGAGGATGTGCAGAGATGCGAGGGAAGAAAGCCCTGCTGGTTCCACAGCTAAACTCTCCGGGAAAATAACATCGTCAATCCCGGGAGTCTCCAAAGCTGAGTCATTATGAGAGGACGATTCGTAGATCCCAGGAGACTCGCCAATTCTGATTCGGACGATTCGGAGTCCGATTCTGATTCTTCCTGAAGAAATTCCTCGCCAATCCCAAGGGAGTCCAGCGCCGAATCGTCATTCAAAGCGAGAGTATGAAGACGCGTCAGCTTGAAGAAGGAATCCGGCAGGTAGGCATCTCGATGGAGGCAGTAAAGGGAAAGCTTTTCCAGCCGAGTGTACCGCTGGAAGAACCTTACCATGCCAGCTTCAGTCACGGGATGTCCCTCCTTCTCATCACCCAGCGAGTACTGATTGATCCGGGTTCCCGCGTGGAAAGCGGTCAGTTTCGGGCACGAGGACGCGAGGTGAGCGAAGAAATCATCGTCGAGAAGCTCCACGCTGCCGTCGGACAGGTGACGGTACGTCAGGTTCGGGAAGCACGCGACGGCGCTGGCGAGGTCTTGGCGGGAAACGGTGACGTCTTCTTTGACGAGAAGCGTCGAGACGTAGCGTTTCGCGAGACGGCGCCAGAGAGAGCAGACGGATGCGATGAAGAGACTCAGAGCGGCGTCTGTGTAGGCAGGAGGCGTCGGTAACGGAGTCTTGAGTTCCGAACTGCTTGTCTTCTTAGCGGGACGGTTTATGGCGATGTATTTCGGCGTGGTAGACAATGTGTCCCATATCGCGTCGCTGCTGGGCACCGACGATTTCTGCAGGTCGGACTTGCAGGGAATTATGGGTTGCTTGGAGTGCCATAGAATCCTGATTAGAAGGTCGTCAGACAGACGGTTGATGTGTGCAGAAGACGTCATAGCCGAACGTCGGAGTTAGAGACGGAAATGTGGCAGATGAGCTAAGGGCTGGCGATTTCAATTCGCTCCGAAACTGACAAGAGTGCAAGAGTGAAGAAAGCTCCTAGGAGGCGAAGAGTGCGCTGGTGAAGGTGAGAGCTCCAAACTGACACAGCAACACAACGAGCTTTGCACAATAATGTCTCGATCAAAGGGCTGGCGATTTCAATGCACTCCGAAACTGACAAGAGTGCAAGAGTGACAAGAGTGCGCTGGCAAAGCTCCAAACTGACACATCAACACAACGAGCTTTGCACAATAATGAGACCACCGTTTTGGCAATGAGACCAGGCGTTGCAGAAATTTGTTCCCTGGGGAATGATTTGGTTGGGGCGTGGTTTGGTTCGGTTCGGACGGAAAAGCTCGGCTGCTGGGGATGAAATCTCCGACCACATGCGACTGGGTCACCACGAGCGAAAGCCCAGCCTTGTCCGAAACTCGAAATGTTTTCGAAATTTGCTGAAGTCAGCGTGACCCGATTTCGATGATGTCGAATGGAAAGCACGAGACCGCACTTTCTTGAGGCACGGAAAGACTTAGGGCAAATGTTGCTGGGTGGGTAAATGCTTGGGGTACTCTGAAACTATAAATTCCCCATTCAAAAGTTCAAATTCCCAGCGAATTGGGCTGCCCTGCTGGCACAGGGCATTCTTGTATGGAGGTCACAAATCCTTCAATACCGCATGATTTTTGCACTGTCGATTCCCCCTTATAGTGTACAACCTACACCGCTTTTATTCAAGCTGGCTGTGATGTGCCCTTGAACGGAACTGACGTGGCCTGCTTCGATCATCCAAGTCACCAATCACCCACTTCCCCGCGCATTCCTTCCATTAGTCCTCGGACTTTCCAGCTCCTTCTGGGCTACGGGGAGTCGTGCTGTATGGGCGATTTTTCCCCAACCAGGACAGCTCATCCTTTGCCAGACACCTCCCCCCCCAAACCTCCTCCCCCCCCCTCCAAACCTGGTCCTGTGTTGCGGGTGGTTCAATCAAGGCGCAAGAATCGACAGAGCAGCAGGTCACACAGGCACGGAACAGAACATATTTGCTTGAAACCCGTTTCCGGCTTTTCATACAGGCAAGATTAGCTTTCAGCTTCTCCACCGTAAGCTCTTGACAGATTTGATAGTTTATCATGGCTGCTCTCGTGTCGGCCTCTGTCGGTGCTTCGGCTACAGCAGCTCTCAGGCAGAGCTCCTTTGTCCAGACTTCCTCCTTGAAGTCGTCTGTCAAGTCCGTCAGTGTTCGCAGCACCCGTGCTGTCCGCATCGTTGCTATGGCCCAACCTGATCTGAAGAAGGAAATTCAGGAGAAGATTGCTGCTGCTCAAGATACCTGCTCTGATCCCAACTCCACCGCTGAGTGCGCTGCTGCTTGGGATGAAGTGGAGGAGATTTCTGCTGCCGCTGCTGATCAGGCACTGAAGGAGAAGCTCGCAAATTACGAAGATCCCCTCGAGAAGTATTGCAACGAAAATCCTTCTGAAGATGAGTGCAGGATCTACTCCGACTAAGCTCTCTGGTGTAGTTGTGTATTTCCGGAGTCACAGTTAGAGTAGCCTAGCCACGATGTCCACAGACGGATCTTCTTCATCCTGACAAGAGCTGATAGCTATGCCTGTTCGTTTTGCTCCTCATGAATAACCTCTCGTTTGACCTGGCCGCAGTTCAGTGGTTGTGAGAGTATGGTGGGTGGTTTGTTCAGAAAATACCCTAGCAGAGACGTGACGTGAAGCGAGCATCCGAGTCTGTCAGAGCATGGCGGGTGGTACCTTTTCATCCTGAACTTCGTGGAGAAATCATTTCATGTGAAGACTCGGGGTGCAATCCGCATTGCATGTCAAGGCTGTCTGCTAGTGTGAGAAAATGGACGGAGTAATTTTTTTACTATGCTTGGCAGTTGAAATGCCCTTGCCAGATTGGTCGTGGTCTTAGGGCGGACTATTCTTGGAGTATTGATGATTACAAGAAATGTACCATAGTCGCTCATAGAGCTGCAAGTGCTGGAGAACGGATACCCCCTGTAAGGAGCTGTCATGTATATTTCCCAAAAACGTATCGCACTGTGCTGCACCTACGACATCGTCCTCACCACAACCCTCAGGGAGTGTCCCAAGAGAACGTTTGTCGTATAGTTGGTACAGGTTCCGTAAGGTAACCCAAGTTTCAAAGCGGGGGAGTAGAAATACCGTATTCTAACGTGCTGGAACCTACAACACTGCATACGGTGTATGCGGGACATACTCTTGGGACACGCCCTCATATGTCAGCAGATGGAATTGTTACAGCAAGTGACGTGGTTCGGATCAATTTTCCTACATTTCCACCGCTGCCAGCGTGGCAAATCCACCTCGTCAGAACCATCTCTCCTGACTTCCTTGGCCCCACCCCTATCCACCTGGCAGATCGAATCATCCTAGAGGCGTTCGTGCCCTCTGCTTTTCCGAGCGTGGCAATATCCACCACGTGTACCGTCAAGCCAGAAGAAAGTTGCAGTCGAGGCTTCTCAGCCACAGGCAATAACGTTGTCTCCCCTGTGAACGAAACCGTCAGCAAATCCGTCCGTTCTTCAGAAACTCCGTCAGCTTGTCCGTCAATCCTTCATTGAACTGGACAACCCTTCCGAAGGAATTTGGTGCTCGAAGGCAAAACACATTCTAGTTTCCCGCCTATTATCTTATTGGGTGTCCCATCCCGCTCTGAAGACCGTTAGGAGACCGCCTTTTGGTAACCGTTAAAAAGTTCAGCAATGGCTGCCGTTCTTGCGGTCTCCGCCGGTGTTTCCACCGCTGTCGCCCTCAGGCGCAGCTCTTTCGTCCAGAATGCCTCCCTGAAGTCCTCCTCCCTCTCCGTCAACATCCGCAGCGTCCGTGCTGTCCGCATTGTCGCCATGGCCCAGCCTGATGCCAAGGAGGCTGAGGAGAAGAAGGCTGCTCAGGAGGAGAAGCCCAAGGTAGAGGAGACTGCTGCCGCTGCTGAGAAGACGGAGGAGAAGAAAGACGTATCGCAGGACCCTCTTGATGTGTTCTGCGACGACAATCCCTCTGCTGACGAGTGCAGGATCTATGAGGATTAAGCTCTTCCGCTGAGTCGCTGCTTTGTTGCGCATCCCCTGTCGCAGCAGGGGCGCATTGAGTTATGCATATCAAGGCGTTTGCACATAGGCGGATTGCTCTAGTGGATACGTGCTTTGCCCTCTCGAGGAATATCCCTTGTCCAGTTTTCACTAAGTGGATTATTCCTTCTCAAATTCCTCGGTTTCCTTGGTCAATTGCGTGGTAGTTCTGGTACGGACTGAGTGCTTGTGATTTTCCGCTGTGTTGTTTTGGAAGCAGGCTGTACTGGTACAGATGGTCCCTTTCCCTAGGTGCGAATAGGGCTAGCCATAAAGAAAATTGTTGCTGGTTGATGTGAAACAGCTGCAACTATTGACAAGAGTGTTTAGTTTACACAAGCTGCAGAATCAGTCACCCCCATATTGCCTCACACTTCGCCTCCTCATTACAGACCCTCCTGAAGTGGCCGAGGAATCAGCTCCTTCCTTCCGTCTCCCTGCCAGTTCAATCAACTCCTGCCGCACCGCATCCAACTCCTCCGAATCCTTAGGCACACTACCCGTAACCTCAGAATTGCCTTTGCTTGCATCCCGCGCAGCAGACAATGGCGGGCCTCCCTGCTTCCTAGCGGCCTTTTTGCTGCGTTGCTTTGCCTGCTTCTCCTCGAGCTGAGTTGTCCGGATGATGAAGAGTGTCGTCTCCAGCATCATGCCGAATATCAAACCCACCGCACCTCCCATTGGATGCTGCCATGTGACCATGGGGGGTAGGAATGAGGGGGTGGGGGAAAGGTTGTCTCCAGCATCATGCCGGATATCAAGCCCACCGCACCTCCTACCGGATGCTGCCATGTGACCACGGGGGGTAGGAATGGGGGGGTAGGAAAGGGTGGGTGGGGAAAGGCTGTCTCCAGCATCATGCCGGATATCAAACCCACCGCACCTCCTACCTGATGCTGCCAATTGAGAGAGCGAATAGGGATGAGGGGGTTAACAGGGTGGGTGGAAAAAGTTGTCTCCAGCATCATGCCGAATAGCAAACCTACTCCACCTCCCACTGGAAGCTGCCATGTGAGACGAGGGGGGGTGGGAATGAGGGGTTTAGGGAAAAAGGGTGGGTGGGAAATGTTGTCTCCAGCATCATGCCAAATATCAAACCCACCGCACCTCCCATCCGATGCTGCCATTTGAGAGAGGGATAGGAACGAGGGGGTTAGGATGGGAAATGGTGGGCGGGAAGGGAAACGCTAAGAACACCGGAGAAGGGCCATGTGATGTTACAAGAAATGATTGCCTGAAAGGGGTGACAGGAACCTAAAAAAAGGATGGCTACAGGCAGTTGCATTGCACCACCCGGTGAGGAAGAGAAAGAAGCTGCAGGACTTACCAGAGCAGGTTGGTCTTTGATCAGAGCAGAAGCTGCAAAGTGGCCAACAAGGTAGCAGGTGAACATGACACCCACCACATGCATACCTGCCAGGAACACAGTGAGGGTCAATGGATAACACGGTGGGAAGAAATGGATCAGAATCACGTGTGAGAAAATGCTTCTAAACAAATCGAGGAAACGGCGTTCGGAATATCCATAGTCCTGTAACATAACCATGGCCTAAAAAAAGATTGGGTGAAGAAGCACACACTCACCAAACCCTAGCTGCTCCCGGTACGATGAAAGGTACGAGCTCCCCCCCTGCCCTCCAAAATCATCATCATCATCAGCACCTCCACATCCAGCCGCTCTTCGCCCCTTCCCTCCTCCTGGCAGCACGTCTCTGACGAGATCTCTGTACCTCCGCTGCTCCTCCGCTTCCTTCAAAACATCCAGACGAGCTTGCAACTCTGCGCTCTGTGGGGAGGAAATTGCGGGAGAGGAAAGAGAGGAAAGAGGAAATTGGAGCTCTGCGCGCTGTGGGGAGGAAATTGGGGGAGAGGAGAGAGGGATAGAGGTTAATAAGGGCTCTCTGTACCTCCTTTGCTCCTCCGTTTATCTAAGGCTATTGGGCTACCAGGCTACCAGGCTAGCTCTGCGCTCTGTGAGGGAGAGAGGAGCGAGGAGAGAGTGGGGAGAGAGCATGTTGAGGAAAGTTGAGTAGAGAGAAAGAGAAGAAGGATTAGGGAGACTGCTGCTGAGATGCCTTGAAAGGGTGGAAAAGAGAGCGGACAAGAAACACGCCGGATCTCAAGCGTAGAGAATCGTTGCACTATGCTACGTCCTACCCAAGCCTGGACGATCGGCCGTACCTTCTTCGGAGGCTCGGGTGGAGCAGGCAGCAACACGTGGCAGCCTTGCAGCACCTCGTGCAGAAGCCAACCAGGGCTCTTGCCGCTGTCGGCGGTGTCGCTGCTAGCCGTGACAGTAGCAGAAGAAGAAGAGATGGTATTCGTATCATTGCTGTTGTCATTCCTGGTATCATTCCTGGTATCATTCCTGGTATCATTCCTGGTATCATTCCTGGTATCATTCCTGGTATCATTCCTGGTATCCTTTGTAAATGCGTCACTGGTGTTCAGAGTCCGATCGCCTTGACGAGTAACGCCCGAAGCTCCTAATTCGTTCGTTTCGCTCGTCTCGCAGTTGTAACTCGGCGAAATTTGACCAGTCGTTCGGTTACCAGTCCCTTCGCTAAGGCCGGTATCTGATCGGTGTTGGCGTAAAGCGGCCCACGCGGCGCGAACAACGGCGTACGGAATCGCATCGTCATCTTTAGAGAACGCGTACTGTTTTAACATCACTGACATTTCTGACGGTGCGGATCCATCGAAATCACCGGCAACCGTCCGATCGGCGATCTGAGATGCAGGAACGGTCCCCAGCGTCTCTAGCGCTGCACTTAACATCCGTCTAAGGTTAGGTGTGGATGAGAGGTGAAGAGAGGGCGACGCCATGGCCAGTGCCTCCACAACAACAAGATTGCACGCGCTCGGAGAGAAGTGTAAAATACGAAACAGAACAGAACAGGAAGAAGCGAGCACGCGAGCCGGCGACTAAGACGGCGGCTGTGCGGAGAGTGAAGCGTGAGAAGAAAGTAGTCTACGGCTTGCAACTTGGGACCTGGGCTTTAACGACCTGAGAAAGCCGTCAGGAAAGCAGCAGGCAGGACGGATTAGGAGAAGCCGAGAGTTTTGAGCGGAACCAGGATGGGTTCGCAGAAGCCGTAGATCAGCTTCAGATTCTGAGGAGCTCTCCTGACTTCATTTTCGGTTACACTCAAATGATGGAGTGAACTGCCCCTTTTCGCCTCGGCAAATACGAGCTCTGCTGCAAATATTCTCGCAGACTGTGGAGTGCTGTAACCCGAATATCTTTCGTTCACGGCTCAGTTCTGACGCGTGCGTCTTCATCCCCAGGTTCCAGAAATGTACCGAAGTCAGCGAAAACACGTCCTGGGTGCTCCCCGTATCTATGCTTATCTGTAGTCTTGTGAGCAGGCACCTCCCCGTTCAGACTGCTAGTTAGTACGAAACGTTATTCAGGTTAGTTTAGGGGGTGTATTTAGTACTAGCGGAGCTTCGTTCGTCCATTCGTTCTACTCGGCGTACACAGACCGCCTAGCGCCACTTATATCGAACATACGGAACTGGTGTATCGTATACTGCTTACCGGTGCGTGTTATATCGCGTATCGCCTCCTACTCCACGTGCCTTACTCCAGCGTCGAGGGGTCTCGTTTTCAAGCGATGGCCGCAGCGCCAATAGGCGTCTGCCACGTAAGCCACGCGGATATGAACCTGGTCGCGCTTCCACGTTCTGCATCGCGACGCGTACTTAATAGATTCGCGTGGCAGGCGGTGCCGCCTTCATCCGCCATTACTTTTGGACGAATGACAGATTCTAGTACTAGTCTAAGGAGCCATCGTTCTCCGATAGTAGTACCCTCGATGCCCTTACTAGGTCGTCACAGTTCGTTAGAGAGATTTCTGTTGCACTTGCGTCCGAAGAAACATGCCACGTGGCAGCCGAGCGTTGGCTTGTCGAAACAGCGGCCCACATGGGACAGTTCGTCGCGGTTTATTACCAGCAAGACTAGTTACCCCAGCCATATTGCTTACCCCGGTTCAATAAAGGCTAGCGGGGTAAATTACCCTGATTCAAGTCCAGCTGGCGGGGACAGCGTGATTCTTGGGATCGAGACCAGCTGTGACGACACGGGTGCTGCTGTGGTGAGTATGTGCTTAATATGGCAGGATTGTGACTCTATGGGAGAGAGTTTGGTCGTGACTCTACTGAACTGGTAGGGTCGGTGTGATTCTTGGGATCGAGACCAGCTGTGACGACTCGGGGGCTGCTGTGGTGAGTCACTGTGAGGGTGTGATAAGGCATGATTGTGACTATAATGGAGTTCTTGATGTGATTATTGGCATCGAGACCAGCTGTGACGACACGGCTGCTGCTGTGGTGAGTGTGCTGATGATGTGCTGCTGTGGTTGATGATGATATGGGGGAGGCGTTTGAGATTGCCGTGCTGCTGTAGTGATTACATTACACTCCCTGGGTTATTAATCACTCCCTGTAGTAGGTGCAATTACTCTGGAAGTGAGAGTGATTTGATTACCCACCTATTTCCTCTGCATTCTGGCTGTTGCAAATCCCGCCCATCCACCGCACCCCACCGCACCCCACCGCACCCCACCGCACCCCCTCTGCAGGTTACTTCTGAGTCAAACTCAAAAGTCAAAATCCACTCATCCCACCCCCTCCCTCTGCAGGTTACATCAGGTGGTCGAATTCTTGGCGAAGCCCTCGCTTCTCAGGTGGGCTCAGGTGACTGTTCAGGTGACTGTTCAGGTGGCTGTTCAGGTGAGTGTCAGGTGGTCAGGTGAGTGTCAGGTGAGTTTTCCGGTGAGGATTCAGGACATGACGTGAGCAAAGCATTATGACTGCAGTGTACTGGTTGACTGCCGTCACCTCTTCCCTCCTTACCCTTCCCCCTTTCCCGATTCTACCTTCTCTTCCTTCTTACACCGCTCCCTCACTGCTCACCCTCCTCTCTCTGACTACGTTTTCCTAGCGACCAAGGTGCACGTGAAATGGCAGGAAGCGGGTGGTTTTTGAGTCGACTCAAAAATCAAGCGGTGCCATCAATAGCTCAGGGAACGCCACACCATTCTGTCCTTGAGCTATTGATGGCACCGCTTCCCCTGGGCTACAGTCGACACAAAAGTCAAACCAGTACATTGCAGTCATAGTGCCATCAACAGCTCAGGGGAACGCCATACCATTTTCTCCCACCTGTCGTCATGTCATGCCCCCCCTTCCCCATCCCCCCCTCCCCCCCCCCCCCCCCCCCCCCCCCCCCCCCCCCCCCCCCCCCTTCCCCATCCCCCCTTCTGTATCCCCCCTTCCCCATCCCCCCCCCCCCCCCCCCCCCCCCCCCCCCCCCCCCCCCCCCCCCCCCCCCCCCCCCCCCCCCCCCCCCCCCCCCCCCCCCTTCCCCATCCCCCCCCTTCCCCCCTCCCAGGGCAAGGTGCACGCGGAGTGGGGGGGAGTTGTGCCGTCTCTGGCGCGGGGAGAGCACGAGAAGGCTATAGACCCGGTACTTAGTAGCAATACGCTGACTTTTGAGTCGACTCACAAGAGAGCATGAGAAGGTCATAGACCCGGTACTTGGTAGCCATACCCCTGGTAATCAGGACAACGAAAAGCCTATGCCCAGCAGGTTTTAGAAGAAGATTGGATATGTAATATTCTTGAGTTCAAAAGGGCTCTGGTCTGGGCCTGGTCTGGGCCTGGTCTGGGCCTGGTCTGGGCCTGGTCTGGGCCTGGTCTGGGCCTGGTCTGGGCCTGGTCTGGGGCTGGTCTGGGCCTGGTCTGGGCCTGGTCTGGGCCTGGTCTGGGCCTGGTCTGGTGTTCGGATTTTGGAAAGATTAGCCTCTCGTCCTGCAGTTTCAAAACAAGTGGGTTCTATCCCCCCCAAGTTCCGTGTGCCACCTCCCTTCCTCACCTCATCCGTGAGAGTGCTTTTTTGTGAAAGCTGAAAAATTCTCCGCCTCAAACTTCCTTGTGTCACCTCCCTTTCCTCCTCAACATTTCCGCCTATCCCTTCAGGTAGTTCAAGCAGCCTTAGACCAGGCTGGCTTACAGCCGTCGGATCTCTCTGCAGTAGCGGTCACGATTGGCCCTGGGCTCAGCCTGTGCTTGAGAGGTGGGTATCTTTCCTCAGGAGGTATCTCACCCGGTGCCCCACTCCCTCTGTCTAGGCTTGATGCTTGAACCTTGCGTTTGATTCTGTTTTTGAGGCACCTAAAAAATCAGCCTGGTTTCTTTTCCCCGAGAGGTGTCTCGCCTGTGCCCCACTCCCTCTGTCCAGCCAGGCTTGATGCTCGCTCGATGCTTGAGCCTTGCCTTTGTCCCGACCGGAAAGTCTCCTCTGCGTCGTCAGTTGGTGCATTCCCTCCTTCTTTCATTGAGCAGTGACCGCATTTTGATCGGTGTTTATTCTATTCTATGTTCCTTGATGCAAATCCGTCATAGCATGGCATGTTATGTTCGCTCCCTTTTGTCCCGTTTTATGGCATGGCATGGCAGTGGGGGTGATGAAGGCAAGGAGGATGGCATCGCAGCATGGCATCCCCATCATCCCCATCCACCACATGGAGGCACATGCGCTGGTGGCCAGGTGAGCTGTCATCCTGGTGCTTCCTTAGGTAGCATATGCAGGCATCACAGCATGGCATCCCAATGGCGATTTTTGAGTTAGCATGGCATCCCAATGGCGATTTTTGAGTTAGCATGGCATCCCAATGGCGATTTTTGAGTTAGCATGGCATCCCAACGGCGATTTTTGAGTCGACTCAAAAATCACATATGGCATCACAGCATGGCATCCTCATCACCCCCATCCACCACATGGAGGCACATGCGCTTGTTGCAAGGCGAGGTGCTATGTGTACTCTCTTGTGGCGGCACAGCATGGCATCCCCATCACAGCATGGCATCCCAAGCACAGCATGGCATCCCCATCATGGCATCATCCCCATCCACCATATGGAGGCACATGTGTGAGCTTTCATGCTGATGCTTCCTTGCTAGCATATGCAGGCACTGCAGCTTGGCATCCCCATCATCCCATCATCCCCATCATCCCATCATCCCCATTATCCCATCATCCCCATCATCCCATCATCCCCATCATCCCCATCCACCACATGGAGGCACATGCGCTGGTGGCAAAGTAACCCATGCATATCACCAGTACTTCACCCAAACCCCTTGCACAATTGACCATCCAAAAGTTACTTTCCCTTCCCCAAACCCCATAACCATCCTAAGGGCCCTTGGCTTTCCCCTTCCTCTCCTCTCCTTTTTCTTTTTTTTTGCTTTGCCCAAACCCCACCCTTACGCAGACTAGACCACCCAGGCGTCACTTTCCCCTTCCTCACTCTTCTCATATCAGGTGTTTGAGAATTCTAAAACACCTATCACCCAGCCTGCCTTTGTTGTGGGGTGCTCATCCATTGTGCTTGTATCGAAATGCGTGCATCCAGGCATGTGTGGAAGATTTTGTTTTTTGGCAGGTTTTCGGGTTTTTTTTTTTATTTGCAGGTTTTCGGGTTTGTTTGTTTTGTTCTGTTTTTTTTTTTTGGTACAAGCTTTGATAGCACATGTGAGTTGGTTGGTTAGTTCGTTTAATTTCCACACACAAGCTGTGGCCCAACAACTTTCTGTTTTGCCCCGCAGGGTTTTGTTTAATTGACACTTCCTGGGTCGACTCCCCCCTTCATGAACTTTCAAGTTTTGCTCCACACATGACAGAAGGCTGTGGCCGCCTGGCTGTGGTCCCCTTCCTTCCCCCCCAGCCGGCCACAACCACAACAACCTTCTGTTATTGTCACATAGTGTGGGGTGGGGAGGGGAGCCATGAGGCACATACCAACTGCGCCCAGGATTATCACTCTCTGCTCTCGTACCCCCTTTCCCCTCCCCCCCCCTCCCCCCCCGGCCCCCCCTTCAGGCGGCCACAACCTTCTGTTATTGTCACATAGTGTGGGGAAATACACTCAGCTTGGGACCACTCTCGATGACGCTATGGGTGAGGTGAGATGAGGTGAGGTGCGAGATTGTTCGAAGGAGGGGAATCTACTCTGTTGTTGTAACAGCGGGTGGGGAATACCCCCTTGAATCCGCCTTCTTCAGGCAATGACAAAGTAATTCAATGCTTTGGTCCGGCCCGTTTTGAGAATTCTAAAAAACGGAACTTTTTTACAATGCTCAAAAGATTTTTGAGAATTATAAGCTCCGCCTTCTTCAGGCAATGACAAGACAACGCAATGCTTTGGTCGACCTGTCAGGAATTCGTTTCCTCCTCATAGCACCTCCCAATGCATACAGCCTCTTTTTTTAGTCAACTCAAAAATCATCTGCGGATTTTTTTCTTCCTCATAGCATACCACCCCCAATGCATACAGCCTCTTTGCCTCTTACCCTCCCCCCCACTGCATTACATACCCCATTGCCTCTTATTCGCCAGGCGTTTGACAAGACAGCGCTCTTGCTGGGGCTGGACCTGTCGGAAGGGGGGGTAGCATTTGACACTATGGTCTTCCTCTTTCTCTCCCCCCCCCCCCCGCGCCACATACCCCCTTGCACCCACTTCTCACAGGCGTTTGACAAGACAGCGCGTTTGCTGGGGCTGGACCTGTCGGAAGCGGGGGGGGGGGGGGAGGGGCGGCATCCGACGTGCTGGTCTTCTTCTAACCCCCTCTTCCTCCCCCCCCCGCTCTCCCCCCCTCATTCTTTCCCTCGCTACCCCTTCCTTCCCCCTTGCCTCCACTCTCGCAGGCGTTTGACAAGACAGCGCGTTTGCTCGGGCTGGACCTGTCAGGAGCGGGAGGGGGAGGGGCAGCAGTGGAGGCACTGGCGAGAGAAGGGAACAAAGAGAGATTCAGGTTCACGGTGAGTTTTACATGCACAAGGGGGTCAAGGAAAGCCTAGCTGTTCACCTGAACATCGGAGGAGGGGCAGCGGTTGAGGCTCTGGCGCGAGAAGGCAAGAAAGAGAGATTCAAGTTTACGGTGAGGGAGGGTTGTTGTTGAGGCGGCTCAAGAACAGAGGGTTACACTGTAGAACAAGGAGAGCAGGTGGGGAAGGGGCAGCAGTGGAGGCTCTGGCGAGAGAAGGGAGCAAAGAGAGATTCAACTTCACGGTGAGGGAGGGTTGTTGTCGTTGTGTTGCCTCAAGACCAGGGCCGGTTTTGGGAGGAGACAGGGAGGAGGGGCAGCAGGGGAGGCTCTGGCGAGAGAAGGGAACAAAGAGCGATACAAGTTCACGGTGAGGGAGGGTGGTTGCTGTGCCACTTCAAGAAAGACCAGGGCCGGTTTAGGGAGGAGGGAGGGGGAGGGGCAGCAGTAGAGGCAGTGGCAAGAGAAGTAACGCCTCAAGAAAGAGCAGGGCCGGTTTACGGAGGAGGGAAGGGGGGGGCAGCAGCAGAGGCAGTGGCGAACAGAGGCAACAAAGAGAGATTCAAGTTTACTGTAAGTAGTCACTTGCTTCTAGTACATGGTTCCTCTATTTGAGAGGTTCAGATTTACTGTGACTTCTCCATGCATGCCCTAGAGGGTCAAGTAAAGCCTAATTGTTTGCCTGAACATGGGAGGAGGGGCAGCAGTAGAGGCACTGGCGAGGGAAGGCAACAAAGAGAGGTTTAAGTTTACTGTAAGTGGAAGGTCGTTTCAAGTAGATGGTTACTTAGGATCAAGACGTGCTTTAAGTCGGTAATGGAGTTCAGGTTGGGGTGTGAAGCCACAGGCTTGCTCAGTTCCACTTATCCTCATCCTCCTCATCTTCCTCTCCTCTCCCCCTCTCTCTCTCCCCCCCCCCCCCCCCCCTTTCCCCCTCTCAGAACTAAAGTTTGTAACAGAGTGCAGGTTGGGGTGTGAAGTCGTATGACCTCAAGTGCCCCCCCCTCCCCTCCCTTCAGGTGCCCCTAGCGCGTGTGACTGCTCTATCTCAGGTCCCAAAGCCAATGCTGCAGGCTTGCCCAGTTCCCCTTGTCCTTCTCATCTTTGTCGTCCTCTCCTCTCCCCCTTCTTTTGAGGCGCCTCAAAAATAGACTTCTCGTCTTTATCGTCCTTTCCTCTCCCCCTTCTCCCCCCCTTTTCAGGTGCCTCTAGTGCGTGTGAAGTCTATTTTTGAGGCGCCTCAAAAAAAGACTCCCCCCCCTTTTCAGGTGCCTCTAGCGCGTGTGAAGTCGTGTGACTTCTCTTTCTCTGGTCTCAAGGCCAATGTGGCGCGCTGCGTACAGAAGGAGGCACCGTAAGAAGTCGCCGGAAAGGGGGGGGTGATTGGGAAAGTTGGGGAAGGGGTTGAGAGCACAGGGGGCTCAAGGCCATTGTGGCGCGCTGCGTACAGAAGGAGGCACCATAAGAGCGGGAGGAGGAGAAAAAGGGGAGGTGGGGGAAGGGGGTTCAAGGGGGAATAAGGGGGGGGAAGAGGGGGGTGGGGCACATGTTTGCTACGTGTGTGCCTTTCCAGACCTGTCTTTTCCAGACCTGCCTTTCCAGACCTGTCTTTTCCAGACCTGCCTTTCCAGACCTGTCTTTTCCAGACCTGCCTTTCCAGACCTGCCTTTCCAGACCTGCCTTTCCAGACCTGTCTTTTCCAGACTTACCTTGAATAGTATTGCCTGACCTAAGTGCCTCTCGTGCCAAACCTACTTTTGTTGCCCCAGGGCAGCTCAAACCATTCCGATTGCCGAAGCAACACCGGAGGACAGGCAGTTACGAGCCGACATTGCTGCGTCCTTCCAGGTAACTTCCTCTTCAAGTCAACGATTTCATCGGAGATGCCCTCCTTGATAGCCGAGATGTCTTCAGAGGCTTCATCTGTAAAGCAGTGATTGCCTGACATCACAGCCCTTGATTGACATCACAGCCCTTGATTGACTAGATCTTGAACCAAGAGTCTTTTTATTTGAAGTCGACTCAGAATACACAGTTCCCGGTAACCTGCTCTTTGATGCAACGAATCTGGAAACCCTTCGATTTACACCTGGTTCTAAGTCAAGTCAAATCACAGCCCTTGATTTTCAACTTTTTCGGCTCCCCTCGGTTGTGTTTTCTACTTGTTTTTGCGTTTCAAGAAGGTGGGTAAAACCTATTTGTTATTAAAACCATGCGAAGGCATCTTAGAAACGGTTCCTTCCCTTCTGATTGCCCTTTTCTCTTTCCAGGAGGTGGCGGTGCTGCATCTTGAGTCGCGGGTGCAGCGAGCAATTCAGCTGGCAAGGGATTCCACTCCAGCACTTGATACTCTGGTACGAGGGAGTGGAATGGGAACCAGGGAGAGGATTGGGGAGAGGATCGGGGAGAGGATCGGGGAGAGGATCGGGGAGAGGATTGGGGAGAGGGAGGGACGAATATATCCTTTCAGGCGTCCGAAGAGCAGAGGGCAATTCAGCTGGCAAAGGACTCCACTCCAGCACTTGATTCACTGGTACGAGGGAGAGGGAAGGGCGTAGCGTAGGGGTACTGGCACATGGCTTAGTGTGATGCTGTGCGTGCAGCATGCACAGCCATGCTGTGGAGTCTTTTCTAGACAGGGTTTCAGCCAAGGGCGTTGCTGGGGTACAGGCGCAGGGGTACGGGCACAGGGGTACGGGTGCAGGGGTATGGGCACAGGGGTACGGGTGCAGGGGTATGGGCACAGGGGTACGGGTGCAGGGGTACGGACACAGGGGTACGGGTGCAGGGGTACGGGCACAGGGGTACGGGCGCAGGGGTACGGGCACAGGGGTACAGGCGCAGGGGTACGGGCGCAGGGGTACGGGCGCATGGCTTAGGGTGATGCTGTGCGTGCAGCATGCACAGCCATGCCGTGGAGTCTATCCATTCTAGACACGACTCCAGAGAGGGAACATGGTCCCATCCTAGGTGACTTTTGAGTCGACTCAAAAGTCTCCAGAGAGGGAACATGGTCCCATCCTTCCTTCTTGAGCGATCCTTTGAATTGAATGTCAGTTTCGTCCTCCTTTCGTCCTCCTTTCGTCCTCCTTTCGTCCTCCTTTCGTCCTTCTTTCGTCCTTCTTTCGTCCTTCTTCTCCCCCTCATTCCTTTCTTCCTCTTCTTCTCCCCATTCGTCCTATTTTTTACCACTGCCAGCCTCGTCCACCAATCACGTGATGGGGGGTTGGGTGGCGTGGCGTCGAATCAGATCGCCCGCAGGTGATTTTTGAGTCGACTCAAAAATCACCTGGGGGGTCGGGTGGCGTCGAATCAGATCGCCCGCACACACACGAATCGCGGCAGTTTGCGAGCAATCGGGGTTGAGATTTATTTCTGCAGTTTTTGAGCAGTTGGAGTCTAGACATGTGTGCTCTCCTCCTCCCCTCTCTCCTCTCTCCCTCTCTCCTCACCCCCTTTCTCCTCCCCCCCTCCTCTCACCCTCTCTCCTTCCCCCCTTCCCTTCTCTCTCCCTCTCTCCTCCCTCCGTTCCCCCTTGTCCCTGTGGTCCCTCACTCTCCTCTCCAACCAATCAGGTGATGGCAGGAGGGGTGGCGTCCAACCAGGTCGTCCGCACTCGAATTGCAGCAGTTTGCGAGCAGTCGGGAGTGAGACTCGTGGTTCCTCTCCCCCGCCTCTGCACGGATAATGGTGAGTGTTTTCGGGAGGGGGTGGGGGTGGTTGGGGGGGGGTGGGGGGGATGGGGGGAGGAGGAGGGATGGGGGAGGGATGGAGATAGAGGGAACGAGCAGTCGGGATTGAGTCTCGTGTGCCCTCCCCCCCTCCTCTGCACGGATAACGGCGAGTTGGCATGCTTGTAAGAACACTTAAAGCCTAACTGCATCTTCCCTCCCCTCCCCATCCCCCTTGCCCCATTCCCACTTCCCCATCCCCCTCACTTGTACAGGTGTCATGGTGGCATGGGCGGGGTGTGCACGGTTCAAAGTGGGAATCATGGTACCGCCTCTCCTTCCTTCCCCCTTCCCCGTTTTCTGTCTTCCCCTTTCCCTGGCTTCAACATCCGCCGCTTTTTGTACAGGTGTCATCATGGCGTGGGCAGGGTGTGGAGCGGCTGCCCTGTCCTTCTGTTCCCATCCCCCGAAGCACATCTTCTGCCTTCTTCCCCGTTCCCTGACTTCCCCATTCCCCCTCTCTTGTACAGGTGTCATGGTGGCCTGGGCGGGGTGTGAGCGGTTCAAACTGGGGATTATGGAGCCGCCTCCTAATGCAGATGAATTGGACGATGACACTTATGTAAGTGTCTCACGGCCTTATTATGCGTATGAAAGTTTCTTCAGGACCAGATAAATTGCTGGAGGACCAGATGAAGACATACGTTGTACTGTATGTCTGTACATGCTGGGAGTATACGAGCACGCATATGCTGTATGCATATGTTCAAGGGCCATTACCCGTTACTGTTGTGACTGACGGAAAATCGAATGGAGTTACAAAAGTGTTGGAGCTATGGCTCCGCTGCCCCTTGGCAGACCCATCATCGTTGTCGGCGGCGGCGGCGGCTGCCTCGTCATGGTGCTCATCATCATTCCTGTCGTCCTCTTTCCTCTCTGCCCTCCTCCCCGCCCTTTACTTGCGTCACATGGCTCATCAGATAGAGTGAAGACCGTGCTGGCTCCTGGCAAACCCACCATCCTCCCTCTCACACTTGTTCTTCTCCCCCTCTTCCCTCTTGTTTCAACCCCAACCTCTTCCCTCTCCTTTCAACCCCATCCTCGTCCCTCAACAGGTGGAGCTGAGGCCGCGCTGGCCCCTGGCAGACCCACCATCCTCCCCATCACGCTCCTCAAAGCAGAAACGGATCTTCCCTTCAGTCTCTTGTTGAACGCACGTTCCTCTATTATTCTCGTGACCCGTCTCCCATCAGGTGGAGCTGAGACCGCGCTGGCCCCTGGCAGACCCGCCATCCTCCCCATCACGCTCCTCTAAGCAAAAGCGGCTCTTCCCCTCCCTTTCCTCCTCCCCCCCCTCCGCCCCACTGCTCACCCCCGTGAGCCCCAACGCATCCCCAACGCCGTTCTCTACTTCATCCCCCCTGCAAGCTGCAGTACAAACGCCCGAGGAGCATTGAATGCTTCTATTTGTCCAAATACCGATATGTCAAGGGACAACCCAAATCTTTATGTACTAAAAAGTTGAGGTTATTATATGATTTGAGATGAGAACTTTACTGTCGCGTTAAGAGAGTGTCGACAGTAGAGAAGCGAGCAAGTGCAGAAAAGCTTACATGCATGAAGGCATTTGAACCACTTGCTTGGCGCATTTGAAACATCTTAGGTATTTTTAAAGATACAGAAGATGCACTGAAGCATAAGTGATCAAGAGTTAAGCGAGGTATCCCCAACTGTCGGTGCATATTCCTAGGCATGAGGGTGCTGGCACCCCTGTGATCACCGTTTGCCCTCGCAACACACGGTTCACTTGCCCGGGGCATGTCCAGCTGGAGTAAGCAGCTGCCACGCGTAGCCCAGTCCGCGTAGTTCGACGTTCAAGTGGGTTTGCCCGCCTGGTCACGCGGGGGACCACGGCCAGACGTCAAAGTTGCCACTTGGACTTGACGGAAGGGACGAGTTAGGCTGGCCAGAAAGAAGCACGCTCGGTTCGTCGACTAGGAAATTTCATTTCAAAGCGAACGGGTCAACTCTTCACCCCGAGTCCCACAATTGGTCTACTGTTCGGCTGCTGCGTTTTCGTGGGGTGACTCACGGTAGAGATCGGTAAAACTTCTCTGCCGCATTGGAACTAAAGGTACCGAACAAAACCGTACGCAACGCACCGAACAACCCGGACAAGCCAGTCAACCCGTCTGCCCTGATCCTCCTTATCCCCCTCATCACCATGAGTGACGAGTTTTGTCGCTCTGCGGACCATCGCGTTATAGTTGGCAGTTTATTCATTGCCAGTGATAAGGTAGATCGAGGCCTAATTGCTGCCTCTTACGCGAACTATATGGCGACATGGAGAAAACGCGTGTTTTGTTGCTGCTACAGATTAAGTGGTTTTTCGATGAGTTGTGGGTCCCTGCTTTTCCATATCCACCCAACGTTGTCTCGTCCGTCCCTTCCACCTCGATGCTGGAACGAAAGCGTTAACATTATTCCTTTAGATTGCGGCTAGGAGGAGCTAGTCGCAGCCGTGATATGTCTCTGGAACCGCAGAATGTTGAGCAAACAGCCGTGGCTCATGAATCAGATCCGTTATCTCCAGCATTGGAGGAAACTGCAGAGAACACCATCTCCTCGGATCAGGAATCGAGCCACGCGACGTTCCACATCCGTCGAAGAGAAGGTAATATTTCGCAACTTTTTCCGCACGAGGCACTGTCGTTGACACAGCTTCTCTTCCTTGTTTCAGAAATCGGTATGACGACGCGCACACCAATCAGGAAGTCTCATAGACGGTCGCGATCCTGTCCTGGAGCTCCCATGAAGCTGGCTAGTCCCACCGGCCGACGGGGTTGCATGTCGCCAAGAGTGAGAAGAGTCCTGATCAAGTTTCAAACAGCTGAGACCAGAGAATCAACCATTGCTAAGAAATTGTCGGAATTAGCAGTTGACGTGCAGGGTCATAATCAAGCTGACATTGACCAAGGACCTCCCAGCTGAGCATTGGAAAATCCATGGTTTGTTCCTAAGCGTCTCTTGCGTGACCTGGCAAACACGTCTCATCGCCACTGAAGGGACCGTCACTTCCTGCTTTCTATCTGACAGGTTCCTTCACCTTGATGCCAATAAGTTCAGGACATAAGAGTCTTCAAAGGAGGACTTAACATATATATTTGTATATGTTTTTAGGCTATCTAGGAGCATACCATAGAGAGTACTGTTAAAGACTAGGTTAGGAGGAACGGAAGGAAAGGAAGCCATGGAATGGCGTGAGGGTTTAGGAGCTAGGAGAGAAGTTGACGAGAGAAAAGAGAGTGAGGACTAGAAGAGAGGGATATGAGGGGTGTTGCACCCTCTACAGTGAAGTTCAGTAATGCCAACCAAGCCTACAATTATATACTAACATATATAATTTAACACACCCCCTAGGCTTGGTAGAACCGTATTCCCTCGTATATAACACCCTAGGGTATTAAACAGAATTAGAATTGAATAATGTGAGAGAGAGAGTACACAAACATATACCTAAATGTTGTACTCTCTAGAAGGTGACCCTATACAGTCTATACAAACATGATAACTACACATGTTTGACACACCCCCTGGACTGCATAGGGGAATGTTCTATACAAGCAGCTCAGGGTGGCACTACTAGTCCAGCCTCTGAGACAAGGGTCTAAAAGACCAGTCAGAAGGAGTACAGACAAGGCAAGAACGAGTACAGGGCGGCACTATTAGTCCAACCACTGTGAGAGGACACAAGTCCAGTCTGAGTGTATACATATATATATATATAGACGACAGTACAAAGTCAAGGCCCGAGTAAGTGAGAGACTACAGGAACCAGACCAAACTGTAAACAGTGCCGCTGATGATCTTTAGGCGCAAGCGCCTTCGTAAAGATATCAGCTGTGTTGGCACCGGAGGCCAAGTGTACTACGCGAGCCTGGCGACGCTGCTGTAGCTCGCGCAGGAGGAAGTACCGCAGCTGGATGTGCTTCGCTCTGCCCTCGAGTCGAGGCTCCTGACACAGGAGAATCATGGCCCTGTTGTCAGCGTACAGGACCGGGGCAGAGCTAGGCCGCTCACCTAAGTCAGTGAGCAAGAAGGTCAGCCAGCGGAGCTCCTGTGCCGCCATGGCACCGGCGTAGATCTCAGCCTCACAGCTGGACTGGGCAACAGACGAGGAGCGGGTAGCTCTCCACGAGACAGCACCTGAGCCAAGGCTAAAGCAGTAGCCCTGGGAAGACCTGAGCGTCTCGGCGTCGTCTGCCCAGGAAGCGTCTGTGTGTCCAGTAAGGACCACTGGCCTGCGTCCGCCTAGCACTAACCCCATGCCCGATGTACTTGCAAGATAACGCAAAACCCTCTTAGCGGCAGACCAGTGCTGAGGTCGGTGTCTGCCTGTGGCCACAAAACGAGCCAGGATGCTGAGAGGGTATGCGAGATCTGGGCGAGTGCAAGTCATCAGGTACATGAGGCAACCCACTAGCTCAGCGTAAGGACCACTGGGATCTACCGACTCCTCAGGAACTGGAGCGGAGAGTCTGTGGTCCAGAGGAAGAGGGGTGGGCTGTGCGGAGGAGAACTGAAGGCCGAACCTCTGAAGGACCTGGCGCACCAAGTGTGACTGAGTCAGGGTGATGGTGCGCGCGGCTCTGTCCCTGGAGATCTGCAAGCCAAGGTAACGGCGCAGCTCTCCAAGGTCAGTGCAGGTGTGTCTCTTCAGCAGCTCTGCCTTCACGGAGGCCAGTGCGTCCCTGTCAGCTGTGGCAAAGACCAGGTCGTCTACGTAGACGAGGATGTAGAACGGAGTCGAGCCAGCACGAACGAAGAGCGAGGGGTCTGCAGAGGACGGAAAGAACTGCAGGTCAGCAAGAGTAGCACGCAGCGTGTCGTGCCACTCACGAGGCGCCTGGCGCAGGCCGTAGACTGGGCGCCGCAGAAGCCACTGGGTCCCAGGGGGGAAGGTGCCAGTAAAGCCCTGAGGACGACGCAGGTAGACCTGCTCGTGAAGGCTGCCCTGAAGAAAGGCAGTGGAGAAGTCGAGGGAGTGAAGCTCGTAGTCACGCTGAGCCGCTACGTGTAGCAGAACCCGAAGAGTAGTCATCTTCGGGGTAGGAGCGAAAGTCTGAAAGAAGTCCACCCCCTCGCGCTGACTGAAGCCTCTAGCCACGTAACGCGCCTTGAACACAGGCGGCTCTCCAGGAGGGCGCTTCACCTTGAAGAGCCAACGGCCATCGACCACGTTCACCCCAGGTGGGGGAACTGCGTCGACGAAGGTGCCGGTGGATCTCCAAGATGCCATCTCCTGCTCCATGGCAGCTATCCACTGAGAGGCCCAAGGTCCCGAAACCGCCTCAGCGTAAGTACGAGGGGTCGGGATGTCAAAAGCGTCTGGGTCACCCTCAGGGACTAGCAGCATGGAACAGAGATGGGGAGCAGCCTCGGACAGGAAAGCAAGCTCAAACTGGCGGTCCTCCAGGACGTCACTGCCGAGGGCAGGAGCACCCCCGACAGACGGAGGACAGGCAGGGTCAGAGACCAGAGCGGAGGCGTAGTCAAGGCGGCGGGTAGAGGCGAAGTCAGCGACCGCAGCGACAAGGGCGTCAAGACTCGACACTGGAACAGACGGGTCGGTAACGAGAGAGGCAAGGACCCGAGGAACAAGAGGACGAGCGGCACGAAAGTAGTCAGACAGAGGAGGAGACGCAACGACAAGAGAGGACGGAGGAGGAGACGGGAGGAGGGGAGGACGAGACGCGTGGGAGCGGAGCAACATAGGGTGAGTGCGCGGGACGGGGGAGACAGGACGAGCACGGGAGGGGCGGCGAGACCAGACGTGAGAGGGCGGCGTCGGGTCAGGAGACAGAGGAGGGGACACGGGTGGGGAACGAGGGGGAAAACGAGCCGGGTACGAGTCCGGCGGAGGGAACACGGGGCCGTAGACGGGAAGAGGGGGAGACGGCCGGAGAGGAACAGGCGCAGGGTCAGGGGACGGAAGGCCGAGCAGACGGAGGGCGGACACCGGCGGGGACTGCTGCTGCGGCGACACAACACCAACGCCAGGGCCACAAGCTGCGCGACGGCTACCTCCCGAACCCTCCACACCGGCACCCCCAGAAGGGACACCCCCAGAGCCCGAAACACCGCCAGCACCGGTACCACCCCCAGGCCCGCCGGGACAAGCCACGACAGGAGCCCCGGGACTAGTACCCACCTCAACTCCAGCACCCCCAGAGTCCACAAACAGCGGCAGCGACGACGGTGGCGGCGGCGGCGGCGGCTGCAGCGACGGCCTCGACGGCGGCGGCGGCGGAGACGACGGCTGCAGCAGCTGCGGCGACGGCGGCTGCGGAGGCGGTGGAGGAGGAGACACCGGGGGAGGGACAGACGGCGAGGACTGCGCCAAAGGGCTACCAGAGTCAGAAGACTCGTCGACCGGAACGACCGACGGGAGGGGGGTGACGTGAGACACACCAGAGGGGGCCGGACGGGGGGGCGGGGGGGGGGAGGGGCAGGGGCCACCAGGGAGGGAGGAACCAGGAACAGGGGGGGAGTAACCGGGGGACCACGGTGGGGAAAGCGGCGGTAGAAGGAGACGGACTCGTCAAAGGTGACATCGCGAGAGTGAAAGAAGCGGTGAGACGGCGGGTGGTAGAAGTGCCAGTCGGACGCGTCAAGGGGGAAACCGAGGAAGACGCAGGGGAGGGTGCGGGCAGTGAGCTTGTCCGTGCCAGAGGCACGAACGTGAGCAAGGCAGCCCCAGACGTGGAACGCAGACGCGTCACCAGGGGACCCGGTCCACAGAAGGGTCGGCGAAACCTGCGGCCGCTGGGGGTGCGGCCACAGGTTAAGCTGGTGAGCGGCGTAGCGCACGGCGAACGGCCACAGAAAATGGGGTGCACCGGCGTGGATCATGGAGGTGCGAGCCACCTCCATGACCAAACCGATGCGTCTCTCAGCGACCCCATTCTGCTGCGGGGAGTCCGGCAGGGTAAACGTCTGGGTGATGCCCTCCGCACGACAGAAGCGACCAAGGACACCTGAGGCGAACTCGCCACCCCGGTCGGAGTGGAGGCGCAAGGCAGGGAGACCGCGGTGGAGACGAGCAGAGACAAGCCAGGGGATGAGAACGTCAGGCACGTCGGCCTTCCGCTCCAGGGGAAAGACGGTGGTGTAACGTGTGAAGTCGTCGACAAGCACTAGGAAGAAGCGCTCGCGACGCGGCCCATGGACCGGGGCTGGGCCCCAGACGTCCATGTGCAGAGTCTGCAGGGGTGCGGTGGTAGGGGGAAAAGAGGAGGAGTGAGGGGCACGGCGGAGCCGGCCCTCGACACAAGGCGTACACGGTGGGGCGGGGGATGAGGGAAACTCAGGGAACGAACCGGGAAGACCAAGGACGAGACCGTGCTGGGACATGTGACGCAGACGCGGGAGTGCAGGGTGACCAAGGCGGTGGTGCCAAAGGAGAGTCGGATGAGTGAGGGACCGACAGGAGCACGCAGCAGCAACCTGGGTGGACGCAGCTACCTGGGGGGAAGACCCAGCCGGGGACGTCGCGGTGTCAAGTGTGAACAGGCCGGACACCGGGTCCCGGGGGAAAGTGGTAAGGGGGGCACCAGTGGCGGCCTCGGTACAGACAGCATACCGCTCGTGACCAGGGAACGTAGTGGTGACGCCAAGGTCCTGGAGGCAGCCGACACCAACTAGGTTCCTGGAGAACGAGGGGATATGCAGACCGGTGAGCGAACCTGAAGGAACCGCCGGACAGGGAAGGGAGGTGGAACTGCGGGCAACGACGGGACCACCGGAGGGGTCAGCAAGAGTAACTGCAGCGGGAACAGGCAGCGGCGTCAGCGTCGTGGAGTCGCGGAAGAAACACCGGGAGGCGCCAGAGTCCAAGGTGAAGGAAAGCGCAGCAGTCGCGCGGGGCGACAGTGAAGCGGTGGAAGCACCGAGGCTAAGCAAAGCAGGAGATCCTACGCCTGACGCAGCAGGGGAGTCTACGCTAGGCACAGCTACACTAGGCAAAACGGGGTAATAAGAGGGAAGCACACTAGAGTCATCGGCATACATCACATGCAAGGCTGCTACAATGGCATCCATGTCCAAGTCAAAAATCCGAATGCTACGCCTAAGCAAGCTGTGCCAGTCCGGGAGGTCGGGCGCCGGGCCAAAGCGCTGGCGGAACAGGTCGTCCAGACGACGAAAACAGCGAGGAGTGGAATGACCGATCTTACCGCAAACGAAGCCGCGGCGAGGACCGGTCTGGATCTGGTATTGACAGGGCCCGCCTCCAGAACCATCACCCGGTGCACCACCACGCGCACGACCACCACCAGCTCCAGGCCACCCAGGCGGGAGAGCACTCGCCGGCC